GCAGGATTTGATCAACAATAGGCAAAGATACAGAGATTTAAACTTCAGGAACCTAAAAAGCCCACTTGTCTAGAATAGCTTGTTGCATGAAATTGACATGTCAAATGTCTCTGTGTTTTCTGACAGTTCAAAGAGTTTGACATGGACATTTGAATTATATTCTAGAAGCCACGCTGACCCCTGCTTACCTCTAGCTTTCCCCAGCCCCTGACACATGGGAAACACTCAGCAAACTTTGGCCATTTTAATAATGCAGCACTTAAGTAGAGACAGTGTACAGTCTTTGCAAAGGGCATCTCCTGACATTCGGAATGGCGCACATAGGGTGACAGGTGCTAGCAGAGGGCGCTTCCTTCGGTAGCTGGTTGGGAGAGGGAACAGGTTGTACCCTCTGGAATTTGGGGTGATTTATTAGCCAGAGATTGCTAAGACCGAACGGGAACGGGCAGCACGCCGCCAGCATCCTTGACCGTGAACATGGGGTGCTGACTGAGCAGGTGCTCCGGTTACAGAGGTGCCAAGGGCTCTGCTTTCTTCTCCGCGCTCGGTCGCTTCCGCTCTTCCCCAACGCTGAAAACAAAAGCTGGACTTCATGCTTATTATTCTGCATCTGCTCCAGTGAGACAGCTAGGTGTGCCTGATGTCTTCATTTTTGTCTTTCCCGAAGCTAAATGGCTTCACGTGTTTTGAAGCACCAGCTGCCTTGACAAACTTTCCAGAATTCTCTGTCAGCTATTTGTTTGCTGCATGGCCTCAGGAAAGATGCTTGTCTGTGTCTGGATTCCATATCAGAAATTTCGAAGTCGTTTTACTTCCTGGTAGTACCTATTAAACTTCCTGGAGAGAAAAAATAAGTGTTATTCCAACAGTGTTGTGACTTCGTAGTGGCCTCAATTGTGTCTTTAATTTTGCCTTTTTTTCTATTTGTGTTCACCTGTCTGGAGGACACTTTGGAGGAAGACACTGTACAGACAATTTGATTTGAAGAAAAGATAAGTTTTGAACCAAATATAAATTAAATGTGTATGAAAAAGCATTTCGTTTTCCAGAAAAATAAAGGTTTTAGGTTTGAATGCAAAGGTTTGTTGTTGTTTGTTTGTTTTACTAACTAAAGTGAACAGTTACCCTTTCATGATATACTTGATATACTTATCCTGATATACTTGTGGTGTATTTTTCTGAGAAATTAATCTCTTAAATGTAAATCAAAAGAGCAAAAGGTCACTAATTCCATGGTAATATATCCATATTTTCTTCCTTTTACTAAATTATTTAGCCATGAATGTAACTTGAAAGTATGTTTTTGAACTTTACAGTTGTAGAAATGTCATTGATGTTGAGTTTGCAGATTGTCAGACCAAAAGGTCAAATTTAGAGAAAACACACACACACATAGTGGGACAAAGATCCAAGCTCTCTGTGGTTTAATTCCTTTTTCCCTGTTGGTCTACAAAGTGCAGATGTCTCACTACGATACTAGCAACTCAAACTAGGCAGGAAAATTTGGTCCTAATTAGGATGAGCTAACTTGTTGAGGCTTCGCGGGAGCGCCTGCCCCGCGGCTGCCACAGCGCCTTTCTCCTGGAAGATTTATTGACAGGGCTTGTGATACTGAGAGAACCGAGTTTGAAAGGTCAGCCTTGACTTAGGGGAGGAGGGGAAGGATTCATCTCTGTGCGACTAAATGGCTGCATCACGCTTTTGAACCAAAGGAAAAATCCAGGACTGACGTTGGAACTGCAATTTGCTGATTTTAGAAGATTCCTGTGGTCAGTTGAAAGGAGTCTGCTCCGTGATGTTGTCATAACGTTAGGGCGAGGGATTTACTTGGACTCAAATTCTGCGCCATCACATTTACAACCTGGATTGAAGAAGATTGAGAAGGAGGTGCTGCCAAGTTGCTGCGGAAGGAGTTTAGCCTTTTGGCAAGAATTAACAGGGGCTCCATGAAGGAGTTAGGTTTCTTCAAACTGTTTCCCTAGGAGGAAGACCCCCTCTGTGTTGTCAGGCTCCTTGGAATCCCTCAGAGCCTTTCTGCTGCAGAGTCTATCACATAGCCCTTGGCTAAGGACATTCTCAGGTCTAAGCTAAAGGCAGGCAAATTTTCCTCCTTGATAGATAGGCCACCGTCTTAGAATTGAGTAAAATAATTGTTCTTTGAAGGAAGATGTATATCTGTTTCTGGGATCACGAGAGTCACTTGTGACCTCATAGGAATGTTAATGAGAGTTTTATTTTCTAAGGCCAAGGCACTTGGTATGAGTGTTACATAGACCTCTGTATGTACATACGTTTCATATTAGATTCCAGTCCTTGGTCACAGGAGCCGTAGCTGACAGTGCTCTTGGAACAGCAAAGGCTCTACTCTCCAGACCAGAGGAATCATCTTGAAGAGCCTTGCGTGCCCTCCCTACATAGTTGCCTGTTGAGGAGGAGGCACCGCAGAGCCCAGTGAGGACAGGGGCCGCAGACCTGGGCCTAAGGCGAGGTGCGAGGGGAACTGTCTTCAGCAAGGAGAGAGCTTTGTAGCGATGAGAATAAGGTTGTCATAACCATTTCACATAAGGAGCATAGCTTCTAAAAATGTTTTAAAGGGAGAGTTATACAACTTTTAAAATAGGTAAATGTCAAATTATATCATTCATATTAGACACAAATACCCTATTTTTTTCATTTTGCTGTTGCTGCTATACTTGTATGTATCAGTCTCTCCACAAAAAAAAAAAAAGAATTTTACAAAAACACAGGATGCTTTTTTTCCTTATTGACTAAACAGTATATGATACACCTGCTAGGACTTAATAAATGTTTGTTAAACAATGATTCATCACATTGACCCCATTAGTTTTACATTGCTTTTCTCCCATCTCATTGTGCTTCTGCAAAATTGACTTTGTGTCATAGCTTTTGCAAACAGTATTTTATCAGCTTCACATAGTTGAGTATGTTTGCGGAAAACTCTGTGTAACCTGTCAGTTCTAGGAAGAGTTCCTGACGTAGGCTTTTCTGCTACTCAGAAGCCATTGGGTGCTTGATGAATGGCCATTTTATCTTATTTTCAAAGGGCTACATGGAAAAGCTAAGCCTGAAATTCTTTCCAAGAGCAATCACATCTTATCTGATTAAAGCTGTACCTTTCTATACAGGGCAGTTCAGCTTCCTAGGCAATCTAGAGTGAATAAAATTTATATTCACTTACTTTTATATTGTAAAGTAAGATGATAGGCACCATTTTGGCTAACTGTTAACGATAAAAGTTTTCACTATTTTTAACATTTTCAAAGATGTGTCTATTAGTTGGTTTGCTTATTCCCTTTCATTTTTATGCTTTTTCGGTGGGTTTTTGAAAAAGAAGTTTCAAGAGAACATCATGACCATAGTACTAGAAAAAGGATTATTAAAAAAAAAGAAAAAAAGAAAAACAAACCTCCTCCACAGCCCTCTCACACTCACACTCCCAAATTTCTTCTTAGTTTTCCTTGCTTTACTCCAGATACCTTCTCTTAAATATCCAATAGTTATAAAATTTGTCTTTTTCAGGAAAATTGAAGTTAAGTACTTTATCAACAGTGTTTTATTTAATGCCAAATATGTATGCTTCGTTTTGTTTATCAGTTGTCTCCTAAAGTTGTATAAGACATCGCCCCATTTTCACATGATCTTAAGTCATTACTAAACTCAGTGAGTCTTCATTTCTGAGCATTTTTCAGTTGGCAGTGGACTGTAAATCCTGATCTTTAGGTTTCTCTGTATGCAGACATTTCAATGTTAGGGAAGATGGGCGGTTAGTAAATGCCCTCGATCTGCCCCACTCCCAAAGGCCTCAGTGGGCCTCTGTGTAGCTTCAGGTTTTCACTTCTTGATTCTTTTTTTAACTAGAACACGGTCCAACCTTATCTCCTAGATGTGTTGTATGAGAAATGGCTGACTACGGGTTAGTTAGGGGTGGAAATTAATACATAGTTGAATTATAGAAGTATTGATAATACTTTGATTTGGGGAGCCAGAAGATTGGCAAAATTGGCGATGTCATTCATCTGTGTTTCCGAAGTTTGCACCATGTGTTTGTGAAGCGCCACGCTTGGCATTCTGTCACATGGTCTGGAAGATACTGATGTGCAAAACTTGATTGCTGCTGTAAGGAACCTTTCACACTTGCTGTCTTCATTCCATTTAAAAAGTACTCATAACGCTTGGCATAGACTTCAGGTTTATTTATTTGGAAACCTGAAGTAACTGTAAATAAGTGTGTGTATTTTACTACAGATTCATACTTAAAGCATAGTAGAATAGCAGTTTGAGTTAGAATAAGCCAATCATGTTTCGGGGGGGATTTTTTGATTCTAAAAGTGTCAAATGGCTCCACATAAAAAATATTAAACAGGATGAAATGAAAAAGAAGCTCACACACGTTTGTTTGCTAAAGCTGTGGAATACATAATGATGGTATACCTACCTGCTTTTGGAAGCTAGACTGCAAGTCCCCTAGACCAAGAGACCATATCTATGCATCACACCATCTAGACGTACTCTTAGCACAATCCCTGGCATGGAGTAGCGCCTGAAAAATTTGAGTTGAATGAATGAAGCGGGGGGGAAAAAGGGAGACCCAAAACGATGAGGTCATTCATTCCCTTGCTTGTAGTGAAGACAGATTAACCATTTTTTTCAAACATCTTTTGGAATATAGGTTTATCAGCATATCTTTAAACATTGTAGCAACAAAAATGGCAGATCTTTTTCATCACTCAGGGCTGCTCTTCCTTCGTGCCCCGATAAGGCATTGTTACTGTCTCTTATTAAAGGGCATGTGTGAGTGAACTCTCAAGAAAATCACAGCTTTGGCTAATGAAGCCTTCTGATTGCTCTGGGCCACGCCTCGAGCAACAAGTGGAAAAAAAAAAATCCAGGTACCGTGATAGTGCCGAGATGCCAGCCGCCAGTTGGAGGGATGACGATTCTGGATCAGCTTCTGATGTCCTCCCTTCTTTCTCCCGCAGGTCCACCTTTTCACAATGATTCCCTGCAGAGCAGCGCTGTCTTTTGCCCGATGTCTGATCCGGAGAAAAATCGTCGTTCTGGACAGCCTAGAAGATTCCAAATTAAGCCGTTGCTTATCCACCGTGGACCTCATTGCCCTGGGGGTCGGAAGCACTCTGGGTGCTGGGGTTTACGTCCTCGCCGGGGAGGTTGCCAAATCCGACTCCGGCCCCAGCATCGTCCTGTCCTTCCTCATCGCCGCCCTGGCTTCGGTGATGGCAGGCCTTTGCTACGCTGAGTTTGGGGCCCGAGTCCCCAAGACGGGGTCTGCGTACCTGTACACTTACGTTACCGTTGGAGAGCTGTGGGCCTTCATCACCGGCTGGAATCTCATTTTATCCTATGTGATAGGTAGGTTTCCCAAAATCAGAGTAATTGTATGGAATGGAGGCAATAGCGCTCCTGGGTGCGGGGCCTGACCTCTTGTAGGTCTGCATTAGTTAAGGACCGTGCGATCTCGAGAGAACCACGTGGTCCCTGTGTGGCTCCTTTTTCTCATGTCTAAAACGTTTCTCCTCACTGCAAAATTGGGCGATTCTGCTTCATCTCTGAATACGCCTCTTAGTGGATTTAAAAACCTCTTAAAAAAAAATTACAGTTCTTTAATGCAAATAAAGTTACCTGATTGTGATGGACTTGAGCATTTGATTGCTATTATATACTTATAAAATGATGATGATACTTTTATATGGGATTAAAATTTTCAGTTCTGTCTGGACTAACCCAAGTTTATCCTAGAATAGGGTAGCAAGTGATGCCATGTTAATTTTCTCCCGATGACCTTGTATTCGCTAAATGCTCTATATTTTGGGAAGGTACATCGAGTGTGGCAAGAGCCTGGAGTGGCACCTTTGACGAACTTCTTAACAAACAGATTGGCCAGTTTTTCAGGACGTACTTCAATATAAATTATACCGGCCTTGCAGAGTATCCTGACTTTTTTGCTGTGTGTCTCATATTACTTCTATCAGGTAAGAAAACCAGTTACATTTCTCCCTACATCAAGCCTGACTAATTGTCTTGGTAGAATAGGTTACCACTGGATTGGGGCCCAAGTTCCCAAGACTATGCAGCATGTTTATACCCTTAGGTTATTACTGGAGAGATCTGTGGGCTTGGCTAGAATCACATTTTATCTTTATCACATAAGGTATGCTTCAAAATTAAATCTAAATTGTATGGAGTGGTAGAAACAGCACTTTGGGGTTAATGGCACCTGGGATGAACTAAATAATAGGATGAGGCACATCAATCGTACAGTACTAGTTGGAGATTTATAGAAATGGCAGTGAAGTTTCAGTAAGGAAGAATGCATAATTTTGGGCATTATTTCCTCTGTTAGATCAGCTGAGGGTATTGGCAAGCATGCTGTTTCTAAAACAAAGTCTGTCTTTCTATGTATGCCTTTATCTATACAACATAGACATCCAGTTGAAAAGGAAGCATATTCTAGCCACCTGTTATTTTTTACTGTAGACAACTATCTAGACAAACATACTTGGTACTAGAATTTTTTCGTTTTCATCAGTACTGTAGCATAGCGATTTAGAAAGGCACAGGATTAGAGTCAGAGAAACCAGGTTTGTCTTCCTACGCTGCCACGTACTATCTTTGGAACCTTGAGTGACTCAAGTTTTCCATGATTCAGTTTGCTCATCCATAGGTATCAGTGTCTATCTGGTACAGGCTTCCTGCCTGGAACCTAGTAAACACTTAGATGGCAAGCAGTTTTATTTTGTAGGCATAGTTAATCCTCACTGTCCCCTTATTATGTTTGTTTTTCACTATTTGAATATTTTCTATTCTGATTGTCATCCCTACCTGCATTCTTGCTTAATCACATCAAGGGCTGCACTAAGAATAAAATCCCTGTTTGTTTCCACTTCCTGCCTGATATACCCTGAGTGATCTGCCCCTTGCTTTCCCGGCCAACCTTGCCTCTAGCTGTGTTCTCCCTTCGTTACAAAGGTGTGATCGAAACATCTTTCTATAATGAATGTTTCGATCACATAAATTATAGTTTTTAGAACTGTAAGTATATAGTTTTTAAAATAGCTTTACCCTTAAAAAAGTTGGTCATTAATTACATGTTTTGTAGAGAGATAGGGTTAGGGACGTGAACAAAATTTATAGATCTCAAATATTTGGTATTTTGTTCTAATAGCAAGAAAAATCACATTAATTGTTTTTCAACACATGTTTTGGTTTCTAAACAGCTTAGCTAACATTAAATGAGATCAAATTTTATTTAGAAATGGTTTGAGCGAACTTAAAATATCCAGCTTTAATCTCTAAACAATGAGAAGCATGTAGCTGTGACACAGAATCGCTGAACTCCGCGGCAAGACTCAGGCCTTGGCTTGCATCGTCTGCCTTGTGCTCATTGACCATCATGTCTTGTCTTTAAGTGTAGGCGAAGCTTACATGCTAATATTGTTTTTGGACTACTTGAAGGTAAAACTTCCTATTATACATCTTTATTCATAGTGTAATACCAAATATCTTGGCAACTGAAGCAGTGTTTCTTAAAGGTCCAAAGGGAGTATTTGCAATATTTGGATGAGATATTCATGGGTCTTTAATTAAACTGCTGGCTGGAGATGGGGATCTCAGAATAGAGAGTGCACGTGAGGTACTGGGAAGCTTTCCTAGAGCATGACAGTGGCTTTGCTGCTTTCCCATGTGCATGGAGGTATTGAGTAAAGTATTTATTTCCCAGGCGTATAGTGGTCCCTAATCGGACAGATAATTGCAGAGCCATAGTTGTACTGACCATACAATTTTCCTTAAATTGTTAATGTAGTTATATCATTGCCAGTCCTGGGAATTGTACGAGTAGAAGAATGAAATTTGACTTCTCTCTCCTGTGCCGGTGCAGTTGTGCTCATGTGACCGTGGGTGTGCAGAAGAGAGAGAAGCAAGTGCACGTATGGCGTTACCCTTTCATGACAGCCACGTCCCCAAAAGCAAAGAGTAAACTTTGCTTGGCCTGTAATTCATTTCTTATACAAGATGGATTAAATATATAAGTACGATAAATATAAAAATACTAAGAGAACACAAAAGTGAATATTTTGGGGTGAACATGAGGGAAATACAAAGGTAGAAACCACAGAGGAAAAATTTATATTCTAAAACATTTTTTATATATAACCAACACTAATATGAAAAGCAAATGATAGGCTGGGGAAAACATGAATAATACGTGGCAGGCAGAGATCTTATGGCATTACTATTATAGAAACACGTCTCATGAATCCATATGGACAGGCAGAGCCTAACAGAAAAAGTGGGCAATTTAAAGGGGACCACACATTAGGGAGAATATGTTGATAATATGAATCAAAAGCCTTGTGTAAAAGTACTTAGCCTTGATACAGTATTAACTTAGAGGAAATTATTGTAAAGAAATAATTAGAAAGTATAAAATGGTACTTATAAAAAGATGATTATGTCGATACTGTTTATAGTTTCAAGAAACTAAAACGATCTGATTCTCTCTAAATAAGAGACTGAAGTGCAGTATCTCCATATCGCAGAAGAGTGTGTGGCTGTTAAAATGAGGTTGTATGTTTGTTGACATGGAAGTGTGTTTATGTGTGTGTTCACTCATGTGCATGTGCAAAGCTCTAGGTTATAGGTCAAGTGTTAAGATTATACTTGATTTTATTTCCTTTATATGTGTTCTGTATCTTCAAATTACTTGAGTAGGAAATTATTTTTACAATCAGAATATAAAATAAAATTCTTAAAATGAAAATCGATTTAACTAAACATCTTTTTGGCATGACAGTTGAATTATTTAGTTTATGTATGTAGTAAATATGAGGCAGACATACGATTGAGCTTTTTCTTCTCAAAATTTTGAGCCATTAACTTTGAAATGACTAGAACTGCCTTTCATTAAAGTTACTTTACCTCTACCTACCCATTGGTAACAATAGAGGAGGTTACTAGGTTTATCTGCTTCTTGGATAGAGCAGTGTGAGCACAGCCTGCCTTCTGAAGTAGGGTTGCTTGTGTTCAGAAGACATTGGTCCTCAGACAAGTGAGTAAGGACTCGCAATAGCCAGGGACAAATGTGACTTAAATATATGAATCCGAAAGCCTCTAACTGCCTCCAAATGCCATCGCCTTTTTAAAGCTTAGGTAAAACTTAAAACGCCCTTTCCTTTTCCATAGGTCTTTTATCATTTGGAGTAAAAGAGTCTGCTTGGGTAAATAAAATCTTCACAGCTGTGAATATCCTGGTCCTTCTCTTTGTTATGGTTGCTGGGTTTGTGAAAGGGAACGTGGCAAACTGGAAGATTAGCGAAGAGTTTCTCAAAAACATATCAGCAAATGCCAGGTAAAATACATTGGTTTGGGTTCTGACCTCTCTCGTTATTTCTTTTCCCTCGCTTGTGTCTCATGTTACATTTTTCTCTAGAACAATGGTTCTATGGTTCTCGGACTTTTTGCTCTAGACACCTTTCTAAAGTCTGTTCTATTCCAAGACTCTTCCTCCTGGGCCCCCCCAAACATAAACGTATGGGCAGGCCCACCACTGAGTGGGTACTTGACGTCAACTGCTGGCTCTCAGCCTTGAGCTCTGCTCCAGGTTTAGGGGAAGAAAAGGAAAGATTCTAACCATTGGAAGAATGCTTCCCCCACCACAAAGGTTTGCCTCCTCCACATAACAATAAGTATTTTTGAATAGTGCATCCTTTAGTTCTTCCTTTGGGACCACCATTCGATTTCATTGCATTTTTTTCAGACCTGTAGTAATTTTAGGACTTGATTTTTGGAGAATATTATAAGTTGCATAAGCAGACCTGTCCTTGCATTTCACTTTACACTTGATTGTCTCAAAAATTAAATTAATAATAATATATGAAAGGTTTCACCCTATGATTTCTGTAATCATAATACTCATGTGTATATGTAAAATAAGATTATAAAAATATCTACTCTATGGAGTGAGGTATATCTACATGTTTTTCTTTACATGAGTTGCTTGTAGTCATTCTGATGAGGCAAAAAATTATTATCCTCTGGTTTTTTACAGTTTTTAGCGTTTAATAAAATATTCAACTTTAGTATTATTACTCAAGCCAAGAACATTTTATTTCACCTTTTCAAATGCCTTTGTAGTACATTTTTAAAAGTGCAGCCTGTGCAGCTGCCCGTGAGACGAGCAAGTTTCTTGTCCTTATGCCAGACCAAGGCTCACAGACGGGTCTCTGCTCTCCAAACCCTGCCTGGCAGTGAGGTCCAGCCTGAGCGGGTCGGGCCTCTGGCTCGTACTGCCCGCCAGCCTCCGAGACCCGTGTCGGTAACCCCAAGAGGGGCCCGTTGTTGGGGATACCACTGTGTTCTCTAGGACAGAGTAAAAGCATCAGGGTTGACTTTCAGTCGTGTACGCGTCACCTTCAACAAGCTGAGGGGCGGCCCTCTGAGGTCGCCGTTTCAGACGTGTCACCAGAAGACGCAGTTTTCTGTGAAAATGACTTTCCGACATTTGTGCTTTTCCTTAGAGAGCCGCCTTCTGAAAACGGAACAAGTATCTACGGGGCTGGTGGCTTCATGCCTTACGGCTTTGCGGGAACTTTGGCCGGGGCTGCAACCTGCTTTTATGCCTTTGTGGGATTTGACTGCATTGCAACGACCGGTAAGAGCAGAGTCCTGGCTCTGGGAAGGAGGGAAAGGCACTCCTTGTACTGCATGCGTACCTGCGGGTGGCGGAAGAGGGCCAAGGACAGAAAATGGGATCTGGACCCGGTTCCGGACCCAGCTGTGACACCTGCCATCGATGATAAAAAGAAGTTGACTGAGACTCCCTGAGCCTTGATTTGCATATTGGTAAAACTGGGAGAGCGGTACTCACCCCTCGGAAGTTATGAAAGTTACCTAACATAGTTGGATACATATGTAAAATTACTTTGAATGAATACACATGAAAAATACTTTGCAAGCTGTGAAATACTTTATACCTGTTAGTCATAATTACTATCCTCAACCCTCTATCTGGATGTGCTGTCATAATGAGTAATAATTGATGACAATGCTCTTAATTTATCTCTTCCTTATTAGGACAATATGTTGTGGTAATTCTTGTCTCTTTATTTTATGTAAGAAGGAAATCGTGCCAGAGCCACTCTCTTAAGTGTCTACTCTGGGTTCATATTTTTTTGCATGGCCTAATTAATTTTGGATGCTTCAAATGCCAAATAGTAGAAGGATCCAAAGTATACTATTTTTCTATTGAAACTAGAGTTTAATATAAATAAATAGATGGATTGGGAGAAGTTTATCTGAAGCTTTCATATTTAAAGGCCTAGAGAAACCCATAATAGTCATTTAATCTCCGTGGATGAATCATTTCTAAAATGGATTAAGATGGCTTTTCTACCACTAAATATTTACTAATCCTGGTACAGTATGGGGTTTTTTGTTGTTGTTTTTTTTTTCTGGAATTGGATTTTTATGTAACAGCAAAGTACCCACAAGAAGAGAGAAAATTTCACATGGACTAGATGGCCCAAGCTAAGAAAACAGAAGGGATAGAAGCAGAATAGCGTTGCTGTGGAGGAGGAGGCGAATTTGCCTTTTACCTATTAACAGTCCAGTCTATTCAGCATGCAAACCTTTTATGTTTCCTCAGGTGAAGAAGTCCGGAATCCTCAGAAAGCTATCCCTATTGGAATTGTGACCTCCTTGCTTGTTTGCTTTATGGCCTATTTCGGGGTCTCTGCAGCCCTCACACTTATGATGCCATACTACCTCCTGGATGAAAAGAGCCCCCTGCCCGTAGCCTTTGAGTACGTCGGATGGGGTCCTGCCAAATATGTCGTCGCCGCGGGCTCCCTCTGTGCTTTGTCGGCAAGGTACGCAGCGTTGCCTCTGGGGCGGAGGCCGTTGGGGTTACTGCAAAGTGAGGCTAATGTCGAATTCCTGTTGTGTGTTTTAAAAAGAATCCTAATATCAGGAACACATTATGCAGTTATGCATTCTCTGAATAGTTTGCCCAGAATTGCTCTTAATCTTAAATGATAAAGTCCTTTTCCCCCCACCAGTCAAGAGTCAGTGTTTCAAGATAACGATGATCCTAGCTGCAGCAGAAATACACACAACACTGGGGCAGGCATCCCTATGTGCACATATACATGACACATGTGTTCATATATGTGTGCGTTATACTGGTATACCAGTAGGTTTCCCCTCTGGCTCTGGGGTCACTGCAGTGCTTCAGACGATTGAGACCCTAGGTGCAGACTTGACATTTTCTGTTGTCTTTTAAAGTAACATCAAGTCTGTGTGCGTGGAAGCTATATGCTGTGGCACTGTTACCTATAATGTGCTTTTTGTGAAACACTGCGACTTTTTCACTTAGCATTGATCAGAGTGAATTTGGTCTAGAAACAGAGATTACCATTCTCAGATTAGTGTGGGAATTTATATAATATCTAATGAAACGGATAGAATCTCAAGTAGTTGAATCTCAAGTGTTTGAATTTTCAGTAGCTGCTTGTTTTAATACTTCAGAATCCATTTCTCAGGTTTCCTGAGCTACTTATATTTTAAAGTAACATGTGATCATAAGATATTTCATTCTAGTTTTATACTGTGCCATACAGTAAGCAGGGGTGTCTAACCTGGGGCTCACTGGCTACATGTGGCTCAGGGCGACTATGAATGCGGCCCAAGACAAAATCGTAAACTTACTAAAACATTCTGAGATTTTTTTTTTGTGATTACGTGTCTCAGTGTATTTAATGTGTGGCCCAAGACAACTCTTCTTCTTCCAGGGGGGCCCAGAGATGCCACAAGGGTGGACATCCCTGTTAGTATGTTCTTACAAAGAGGAAGTTAATCTCTTTGCCTGATTACTAATTTTTTAAGTGAAAATAATTCCCTATAAGCCTGATGTTGGACAAAGAAGTCTTTTTATATAATTCTTCAGCCTAGCTTTTTTTCCTCAAAATCTCCTTCATCTTCTATCCAGGATAATATGAAATAACAATTAGAAATCCCTCCCATTGGCTTCTCAGCCACCTGCCAATAATGAGGTTTATTCTGAATAGTTTCAAAAACCTGAAATGTAAAACACAGTCTCAGAACAGAAGGATACAGATTAATCCGTGGCCAACCTCAACCCAGCTTTATTAAAAGATAAAGAAGGTGGATTTTTTAATTAAATATTTTACTTATTTTTCTCTTAAATGGTTATTATTAATAATAAAGTAACATATGGAATGATATAACCAGTAAACATACAAGTTTTTCAACATATCTAAAGATTTCTTAAACTTTTAATCATGGCTATATCTATGTACTAATTTTACAGTGAGTTGATTTTTTTAACCTTTTTATATCTTAATTATCTTGTGATGCTGGGAATTGTTACTAATTTGATCAAAGATCAGTCTATAGAAGGAGAAATAAGGGTAAAATAAATATTGCAAATATATAATTATTAAATAAATGAAGGGGCTATTCTATGAAATTAAATTTCTTAACCTCTTTTTAAATTACAATACATTTCGGTTTAGGAATTTTATTTTCTGAGTTACTGCCACTAAAAATGTCTTCTATGATATGACCTGATCTGATGGCTTTAGTGTTTTTGTTAAGTCTCAATTACTTAGATTTAATTCATTGATAATCATGGGCATGCACAAATTACCTGCCTTACTGTTTCTGGCCTGATAATTGTGTTGGGCAGATATCTGCTGCAGAATAATAAGGGGTGAACATCAGCCAATACTTTGAAATGTCCAATCATAATATGTTTTAAAAATATATAATCGTAACTGTGATGCTGAGTTTTTTAGTTCCTTAATTTCAGTTCTGGGATGTAATTTTGCATGAATGTGTCTGCTATACTGCATGTGTTTGCTTTTTATTCAGTCTTCTTGGATGCATTTTTCCAATGCCGCGTGTAATCTATGCTATGGCGGAGGATGGGTTACTTTTCAAATGTCTAGCTCAAATCAATTCCAAAACGAAGACACCAATAATTGCTACTTTATCATCGGGTGCGGTGGCAGGTGAGAGAAAGTTAACTTTTATTAAGAAAAGGGGGATCTTTTTTCTTATCAAGGATTCTGAAAAACTATGGAAAGCTTGGTGGTTTTCTGTTCTGAGTCACATGAAGATCAGTAATTTTTTGTGAATGTTTCCTATTTTGAATTGTTTTGACATAGGTTGGTTCTGTACTTCAGTGTGTTCCGTCTATACCTGTATCTGCCTGTAGAGTAATGGTTGTAATAACTCACATGGATTATGAATTTTTCTGTTCTAGTCTCCTGGGCTCTATGTTTCCTTTACCCCGAATTCTGTTTGCCATGGCCCGGGATGGTTTACTGTTTAGATTTCTTGCCAGAGTGAGTAAGAGGCAGTCCCCAGTTGCTGCCACACTGACCGCTGGGGTCATTTCTGGTAAGCGTGACAAACGCGGGCTTCTCAGTATTGGACTTGAACGTTTTATGCGCATGCATGGACTTACAAGGAGGGTCTGCTTGCTGTGCATGTAAGTTAAGAACAAAATTCCTCATAAATTAGGGTATGATCATTGGGATGACACCTGAAAATCACGGTGGCAGTGGTCGACTGAAACGCATTCTTAACTGACCCTTTGGGACTTTTTGCTGTTTTGTTACGTTAACCTTTTGGCATTCTCACAAATGGGCAAAGGGTTTTCACGGTTGTTCCCCATATGACAGTTATTAAAATGCTTTTCAGATTGATTAACTAGCCCATAAAATTTTATGTGTTGACATAAAATTTTAGTTGAAGAATGATTACTTAATTGTGGACATGTTAATTAAAAATAATGATTGACAGTTTTCTTTTTCTGTGAAGCACGTAAGCTGAATATTGCCGAAGGAGAATAGGAATTTTGAAAAGCTGAAGTTTACCCGAGTCAAAAACCATTTGCCCTCGGCTGTTGCAGGCACTGCAGTCCGGGTGGCGGGTGCCCGCCTTCCTGGGCCGTCACTGGCTCTCTCTGAGCTGCTCCCACCTTGTGAGCCCTGTTAGGAATCTGTTTTTCTTTGCAACAGCTTTGTTACTTAAACCACGTTTAAAAACTCCAGAAACTACTCTTGGGCATGTCATAATATCCATGTCACGTACCTTTGGCCAGATTTTTTGGCAGAAATTTTCAGATATCTTACAGATTGAGAGAACGGACTTAAAGGTCCTATTACAAGAAGAAAGAGCAAGACTAGCAAGCTTTTTAAACAAAATGATCAACTATCTTGGTGTAGCAGAAATTCAAACCCAAAAATAGTAATTTTGTTGAGGTTCTAGATTGTTGGAAAAACAGGTTAGAGAATGCTAGTATTTAATTATGTGTGAATAGGATTTATTTTTTAGAGTCTGAAGGTATCTAAACAGCTTCACTTAGTAAATATTTTCTAGTAAATTTGGCACTTCATTAGACATGCATTGGAAGGCCAAGTCACTTTGTCAGTGCTAGGATATCTGCGCCCATAAATGAAAGTTTTACTAGATAATCTAAAGCCCATTTTATTATTAAACAGTGCCTTGGGATATTATCATTTAAAGTCATGACAAAGGATCACTCATTAACTCCATAAACACTTCTATTTTTTCTAGCAAAACATTGCCTGGTAATATTCAGAATTTTATATATTATAGTTCTGTATACTCAGATTTTTTTAAAAAAATCTATCCTTTCAGGGAGAATTTAATTTGGTGGCATAATAAGATAGTAAAATTAATAATTAGCAGAAAATATTTGTAACAAAGCCTTTTTTTAATGCTCTGAAAAATATTTTTTTTGTTGTTATTTTGTACTCCCACAGCTTACTGTGCTTGTTTTTAACTAGATCATAATGCTTGTATGGATAATTAATCCTGTTCTCCTGTCTTGGCTACCTTATTTTGGCCAGCTGTGATTATCACAACACATTAAAATTTTAATGACCTAACATATAAGCATGCTAGCGATGGAGAGTTTTCAAAGTAAGGCATGAGGTGAATTTAAAGAAACAGTGAGTGTTGGAGGAGGCACATAGGGATGCATTTTAGGTGGAACGCTGCTTCTACCAAGTAGTTTTAACCTGTCTATAAAATACAGATAATAATCCTATTATTAGAAGAATTATAACCCAGAAAAGCACGTAAAATTGCTGGGTTTTTGGTAAAAAACAAACAAATACTGGCCATTTTATATAACCAAACCTAAATAATTTTTCCTGTCTCACAGGATTATTAAATTGAGCATAAAAGGAAATAGAAAGCTTGCAGAGAGTTCTAGAACACCATGTAAAAGGAACATGGTATCTGCTTACTAAGTTATGGGTAGCTATGTGGTAAATTCAAGTTAATATTAGCACTGTTTTGATGTTTCAGTGGAGAGAAATGTTGCTAAGTGCCAGTTAACTATTCTGCTACGCAAAGTATATTTTGCCTCTTAGCATACTGGGATTGGGGTGCAGGACCATAGAGTGAGCTCTCAAATCTGGCCAGTCTAACTGGAGTGTGTGGTTTTAATCAGAGTAGAATTTAGCCTATGTAAGAAACATAATTTAATTGGAAATTATTTTATTTTGTATATAACTCAAAATGCAAATGGAAATCAGTATGATTAAATATCATCCTAATGAAAGCTCTTTTATTTGTAGTTTTTATGGTTTTAAAAAAGGACCTGGCCAATATTTCTTAGCAAGCTGTTTTTCTTCTGAAACATCAAAAGAGAGTAATAATATTTTCACTCTCTGCCAGGCCAGTATTTCTTTAAGTAATCAAAGTAGATGGTTTTTAATAATCAAAGTAGTAGTTGTCTGATAACTGAGGGGTTTTGAAGTTTTGCCAGCAGTTTGTATGATCAAAAAAACATCTTATTAATTGCGAGAAGCATAGTTTTCTATACTTGAACTGAAACAAAAAAAAGTTCTGCCCATTGTCCCTGACTTGAACATTGTCAGCCATACGGAATTTGATCACAGGCCATTTCTTCCCCATCCTTCTGTTTCCCCGCAGCCGTGATGGCGTTTCTCTTCGACCTGAAGGCCCTCGTGGACATGATGTCCATCGGCACGCTGCTGGCCTACTCTCTGGTGGCCGCCTGCGTTCTTATCCTCAGGTGCGTCATCTGGAGGCGAGATGCCTCTGAAGGGTGTGTGCTCTGTTGCAGCCCAGGAAATAAAGCAAGGGCTTGCCATCCTGGCTTTCTAGGAGTTAGCAGTCTGAGAGCTGAGAGTTCATGGACATAAAAACATCAGTAGAAAGTACGGGATCCATACTTGGTCCTTCGCAAAGAATCAAATACAGTGGATGATTAGTAAGAGGCTGGCCCAATTCTCTGTGAAGGGCAGGTTCTCATAATATGTAAAGGCACTTAAAAATACTATACTTTTTGTTCCGAGAATTCAACTGCTCAGATTTTATACAAAGGACTTAATCATTGAGGCACATCCAGAGATGTGGAAAGGATGTTCACAAAAAAAATAATTTACATTAGTGAAAATTTGAACTAACCTGAATAGCAACGAGATTAAATAAATGAGAGTATTTATTTAGTGGACTGTTCTACAACAAATAAAATATGTAATTATTTGGAGAAATGTATCAGTTTTAGGATGTAAAGTTCTATGTAGTATCTGAATTTATTTAAATAGTGTAAATTTACATGAAGAAGTCATCTTTACTTATGTATAAACATATGCTTGGCTGAAATTGTACCAAAATACTAGCAGTGAGTAGCACTGGGCAGTGGTTTTAATTTTCTTCTGTGTACTTTTGGGTATTTTTTTTCCAGTGAGCATATTTCTTCTTTAGATGGGGGGCAGGTGTTACTTTTAATTTTTTTTCAATTTTTTCAATTACAGTTTACATTCAATATTATTTTGTATTAGTTTCAGATGTATAGCATAGTGGTTAGATAATCATATACTTTACAGAGTGTCCCCCCTGTTATTTCCAGTACCCAACTGGTACCATGCACAGTTATTACAATATTATTGACTGTATTCCCTATGCTGTACTTTATATCTCCATGACTGTTTTGTAACTACCAATCTGTACTCAATTCCTTCACCTTTTCCACTCCACTCCCAAACCCCCTCCTCTCTAGCAACCATACAGTCTATCTCTATTTCGTTTAGTTGTTTATATTGTCCTTTAGATTTCACATATAGAGAACCCTAAGATTCCACCAAAAATCTACTAGAACTGATAAATAAATTCAGTAAAATAGCAGGATACAAAATAAATATTCAGAAATCAGTGGCATTTTTATATACCAAAAATGCACTATAAGAAAGGGAAACTAAGAAAACAATCCCATTCACCATTGCATCAAAATATTAAATTAAATTAATACTTAGGAATGAATTTAACCAAGGCTATAAAAGACCTGCACTCAGAAAATCATAAAACACTGAAGAAAGAAATTGAAGAACATACAAATAAACGGAAGCATATACCATGTTCATGGATAGGAAGAATTAACATTGTTCCTCTTAAATTTAAGTAAAGGCTGCTCAGAGGGAAGGGTCCACATAGGGGAGCCTGGGGCAGGTACCAGGAGGTGAGGCAGCTGATGTTCTGACACACGCTGTAGAGGAGGAGGAAAAAGTAGTAAAGGACCGTGGCATGCAAGGAGTTGGGAGGTCGCCAAACGGCTGCGTGAGCTAGTTGGGCTGAAACCAGAGGACTCGGGTAGACAAGTTGAGGGAGATGAGGCCAGACAGGCAGTTGGTGATGAGGCCTTGAATACCAGACTGAAGACTCTGTTAACCAGAGTTTCTGTGCTGTTTTCGTGAACATTTCCTTGGGACAGATATTTTAGAAGAGCCATCCTGTTATCACAGTTGCCTCACTTTAAAATGTAACTCTGTTCTGTATCTCATATATAACATTTCTAATGAAATGGCTGTCAAAGGGCTGTCAGAGTTGCTACAGATGCCCTTCGAGCAGGTTTGTGCTGACTCGGCACGCTCTGGGGCTGGACCCACAGCAAGTGTCGGTTTATTGCACAAGCTGTGACACTGTGAGATGTCTCACCGAAAGTTGTAGGAGCCTGTTTCATTGGGGCCACGTGTTTCTTTGAGAATGAAGATACCAACATTTATTTCGGGGATAGGTACCAGCCTGGCTTGTCGTACGAGCAGCCCAAGTACCCTCCTGAGAAAGAAGCTCTGCAACCACATGCCAACGCGGAATCGGAAAGCGCGTCCCAGGTCACCATGCTGCAGGACCAGGGCTTCAGCCTGTCCGCGCTCTTCAGCCCCTCGGCTCTGCCCACACAGCAGTCAGCTTCTCTCGTGAGCTTCCTGGTAGTGTTCCTTGGTAAGTCCTCATCCCTGCGGCGTCCGAGGCCCCACAGGAGTGCGCGGGTGGAGCGGGTGGGATGGGAGACAGACGAAAGGCCTCACGTCACCCTAGAGTAGCTTAGCGACTACCTAGGGCCCTGGAGTGTCCACCTAGTGGGCCACTAGACTTCTATATATTAGCAGGATAAATTTATCATATTTGGGTAAATGAAGAAGGCAGGAAGAAATTCATAAGGTGAGAGTGTTAGAAGTAGAAAATGGGTACATTTCATTAGCCGTTAGGGGGCTCCCTATGCAAAAGCCTCCGGCCAAGTACACCTGCCAGTCACAGAACCGGGACCCCAGAAGGCTGGGGGCAATAGAGACTCTGTTGTCTGCCTACCCACAGATACGTAATCCCTCACACTTCCAGCGACATTTAGTGAGCGTCATCTGTGTGCCAGGAACTCCGCTGGCACTTGGGATATCGAGAGGGGTGGGCCTTGCACTCCCTTGGCTTTATGGTCCAGAACTCTTAGTGGCAAGCCAGGGGACATGCAGAGTCCTCTGAGAGTGCATCCGCGGGGCCCCTAACACGGGCCTGATGGTCAGAGACAGGGTCAGAGGGTGGCAGTGTCCCTCTCAGAAACAGGGAGGGAAGCTGCAGGTCATTTTATCTGTTTACGAAGCCGACAGTGGGCAGGCATGCCATTTTCCATTTGAAAAAGGGGAAATTCCGACCCCTGACAAGGACCCATCAGTCCACGAGCTATAGACTGAGACGGTAGCAGATGAGGACCCAGGTGGCACTTGGGTGGAGAAAGCAGGAGGGTCGTGCCCATGGGGAGGTTGGCTTCCTAGGAGGAGATGGTTATGAGTAAGCAAACAGCGTTTCCTAAGTCAGTGAAATCAGCCATTTCTGTCCATCTTGAAAATGAAGAATCTGAGTGTTTGGCGAAGTAGATATGTCAAGGACTTGACCTCTTTCCGCAACCCACTGTTGGAACTGAGGCGCCTGAGCGAAGCACGTGTGCTGACTCTGTGTCACGTGCATGTCTCCTCCACAGCGTTTCTCGTTTTGGGCCTGAGCATTCTGACCACCTACGGAGTCCAGGCCATCGCCGCGCTGGAAGCGTGGAGCCTCGCTCTCCTGGTGCTCTTCCTGCTTCTCCTCGTCGCCATCATCCTCATCATCTGGAGGCAGCCCCAGAATCAGCATAAAGTCGCCTTCATGGTGCGTGTCGCGAGGATGGAGATGCTAAATATTGGGCACACGTTCCCTTGGACATTAGTTTTTATGAGTTCTTTGTTTTAAAGGATTTCTGATGAAGGTAACCAGTGAACAAGAGTGTCCCAATGCTTTGAGATGCTCCTTTCTGTCACAAGCGTTCGGCCTGCATCAGCTGTGTGACTGCCCTTTTCAAAAACTTGAGGATGCTCCTATTGCAGTATTACATATAATAGCACACAAATTTCTTGTTAAAGAATCAACAGTAGCAAAGGAATAATTAGAATATTTTATTTTAGAAAGGCAGGACCCTCTCGGGAAGGTTATCCCCACCAAAAGCCCTTCCACTTGCGCAGGAAATTATCCTGTCACATTCGAACTAAGAGCAGGTTTCAGCTGGGAGAGAGCTTTCTGGAAGCATCCCCCAAGGTGCGGTGTGTATCCAGAGTCACAGAGGCACGGCCTGCAGATGCCCGAATGACACCTGTAAACCTGAACTAAACCATAAAACCAGTTGCTTCTTGGTGGTAATGCAGGTGTTTGCGGGCTGCATAAATCCTCTGTTCCTTTGGGTCTCAGCGAATAGTGTAAAATGTGATGCTCCCCTTAGTATTCTTTGGAAGAGTGGCTTTTACTCAGGTTGTCCTTTGCATAAGACTATAAACTTGCTGACACAGAAGGAAGATATACACTATGTCAAATTGGTTACCACCATGTCGAAATAATGGGGGGAATGTGCTTTCAAATTGTGAGTATATTTAAGAAGCTATTTTCCCTCCTTAGGTTCCATTCTTACCGTTTTTGCCAGCATTCAGCATCCTGGTGAACATTTACCTGATGGTCCAGTTGAGTGCAGTGACTTGGATCAGATTCAGCATTTGGATGGCACTTGGTAGGTCTTTTAATATTTTTGCTTTCTCAATTTGGCGCTCTCTTTCCGATTTCATGCGCTGTGATTGAAGAAATGCATCCCTTCCCCCTTCGTGGAAATAAAGTTTTTTCCCCAGTTTCCTCCTTTTCCAAGTTTGAGAACATCAGAGTGCTTACTTTTCCACATGTTTTCAGATGCCTTTTTGAAATTCAAGTCTCCCAGTAACCCTGTGGGACCCTGTTGGCTCACTTTTCCCCAACATGATGGATGAGAAAAATGAAGCCCCAAAATGTCAAAGGATCTCACTGACAAATGGGAGCCCAAGTCTCTGATCCCAAAGCCCTTTCTTTCCGCGGTGCCAGTGGATTTTGGGAGACATTTTGAATGAGCTAATAGCAAAACAACAACAACAACCAGAAAAAACCTCTCCTTTCTAATATCTAAGTTTATTAATTTTATTAGCACCTCAGAGGGAATTGAACATTAACATGAGTAAGCTTATTTAGATCTGTACCACCTTGTTTTCCATTGGTTTGGTGGCCTGAGGAGTTTGGGTTTGTGCTTTCTGAACAGTTCTTCCCTTGACTCAGTAAGAACAAATGTAATTCACTTTTGTGTTTGTATGTAGGTGTTTGGCTCTAACTGAACTTAGTCTCAGTTCCAGCCACAAACCCAGTTGAATTGATGGGTGAATGAACCTCAATCAGTTTTGCCCTCCCCCCACACCCGCACTAGCGTTTTGCATGTATTGGGGGAGCTTGCACTGTGCCAAGGAATTGGCTGGCGGGTCAAAGGTCATCCAGCCACACAGGTTACACTAGGCTGTTCTCTCTTTCTCTCCAGGTGGCTCTATGTCGTAGGTGGCTCTGTTGCTTTAGGGGCAGGATCTTAACAGGAATCACCTGCCAGTGGGCTAGGCCCTCAAGGGTGCTTTGGGGTCCTGCCACCTCCCCATGTGCTTCCAGGAAGCTTAGGTCACAGAGCCCAAGGCTATAAAACTCACTCCCCCAGTCTGAGCCTAGAAGCATCTTTCTAAGCACACTTCCTGCCTTTCCAAAAACCACTGTTTCTTTCCTCAAATCGTAGCTCACTGTGGTTTAACATACTTTGTCTTGAATTAAAGCAAGAATTACAGAAGCAGATTCTCTATATTTGAATCCAGCTCTGCTTTGGTTGGCTGGGTGACCTAGAACAAGTTACCTCCCTGATCTCGTGCCTCCGTTTCTTTGTAAATGGTGATGGTAGTACCTTCATTTGAGAAAGGGAAGGCTGGATCTGCAAACCTCTGAGAGTCGGAGAGGAAACAGAATCATTCCTAATAACCAGACATGCCAAGATGCTCATTGGTAGCCTACTTCCCATTACCTTTAAAGGGGGAAGTTATCATGCATTTTACAAAACTCTCAACCAATCTTTAAAAAATAACTAAAACTCAGCAAAATGCCCCTATATAGATAATAAATAGGTAATAAACTATTTTGTGAGGATGCTGAAAACATTTCCTTCTAATCCTCATCAGCATGGCTGTTAAACAGTTGCTTTGGACACAGTGGTTTGGCCTCTCCTGGGGACAGTAACCTGTGTAAGGCATATCTGTGTCCCCTTTGTTTACCCATGTGTTCCATAGTAGCTGACGGTGACTGTGATAGTTCACCCCTTGTATTTGGAATGTGACTTGAGACTGCCCCTTATATCCTTTTGTTCAAAGTGTAGCATCAAGTTTTGAGAATATATTTTTTTTCTACATAAACTTCGGAAAAGCACTTATTGAGAGAATCCTACATTCTGTAAAGATTGGGTGTTAAAAATGAAGATATGCCTTCTCCTGGGAAAACACTGATCAAGGCCCTTCCGGGGGCCCAGGAGGGCAGTGCTGCATTTGCATGGAATTCTTCTAGAATAGCAGACAGAGAAGGCAGAGTCCTGTGAGTTTGTATTAAATTCTCACGTCCCAACAGTCATTTTCTGACACACCTAAAATGCTGCAATTTTGTTCTCTGACAGGCTTCCTGATTTACTTCACCTATGGCATTAGACACAGCCTGGAGAGCAATCCAAGGGACGAAGATGACGACGAAGATTCGTATTCAGACACCATTAATGTAGCAACGGAAGAAAAATCTGCCATTCAGGCACATGACCATCACCAAAGAAACCTCAGTTTACCGTTCATACTCAGTGAAAAGACAAGTGAATGCTAATGCTCGCAGGAGCGGCGTCCAGTCTTATGTGCCCTACACTGCGTAAGCCCGGACAGGACCGCAGCGTCGCGCTAGCTTGTCATGGGCTTGCTGCAGGCATAGTTCCCCCTAATTTATACTCACCTGGACAGCACCTCCTCGGGTAGAGAGTGATGGACCTGGGGAAACCTGAGCTCTCTCCTAGTGCTGAGTATCGCCCAAACTGTCTCTGTGTATCTGTGTGTATGTCGGGGAATACAAGCATTAGATGTCGTTGGTGTTTTGCTCTTGCTGCATTACATTTTTCCAGTGTTTGTCATGAATTGGTGTCACATGCTGCACATACTGAACTGCAGATAATCACCAAATAGAAAAGTGTTTTGTATGTGTGGTATTGTTAGGGAAATAGATGGCCTTTCCTCATTAGATTTCATTAATGTCAACTTAGAACATGCTGCACATGCAGTTACTCATCTGGGTGTCTGTCGCTGGTCAGGAGCAAGAGGAGGGGATGAGAAATGAGCCTTTTTCTATAACTTAAAAAACCAACAGTGGGTTTAGTACAGAGTTTTCTTCTATGAGGTATGAGAGTTTGCTAAAACTTTAGCCAATAGGAGTGTTTGTAGCCACCTTGCTACACAGGGAGGCGTGACCTTCTGCATGAGCAGGCGGCACCCCTGGGAACTGCTGTCTTCTCTGAGCACAGGGGTCCTTTAAGCTGAGGCCTTCACCTGCTGTGAGTGACATGCCCCCTCTGCCCACTCAGGGGCTGAGAGAGGGAGCGTGATCTGCCCAAGGCCCTTTATACCAGAAGGTGGTCCCCATGGCCAGAAAGCTGGTGTAAGTAGCAAAGATGAGGGTATGTTGCGAAATCAGGGTTAGACATAGGCTTGGATAAGTAGCTCCCAAGCGTCCTTGTTTTAAAAGTCACTTAAAATCAGCCTGTAGAGTCTCCCACATGACGCAGTTGGTGGGATGATTCACGCTTTTTCCATTACTTACTAGCCAGTCATAGTTCAGGGTCTTTAACCCAGTCAGACGAAGAAGTCACTCCTCCATTTCAATTCTTATGTTGTCCTGTCCGAGACACAAGGAGCTGCAGTAGCAAATTCTATCTTTACTACATGCAAAAGCGGAAAAAAGTGAAAGGATGCAAGAAGGGGAATTTTCCCTGTTCCAATTTTAAAGTGCCTATTCAGATATTAAAGAACACTTGGCTCAATTAGAGGAGTTTAGATTTAATTTGACTGTTTCTTTTGGAAATATTTAAGGATGTTTTTCATACCCCATCCCATAATAGTTTAGCACTTATAATCTCATTTGTTTTTAAATGGCCACACTAAAGCTATTCATACAAGCTCCAGTATTCTATAAAAACCCATCAATGGTTGGGAAATAAAATAGTGTGGTTAAATACATGATTATATAAAACTTTAACCTAAAAAAATCAAACGAAAGCTGTAGAAACACAGCAGCCTTTATATGACTAAATAATTTGTTTTTAGGTGTACGATTCTCTAGTTAGTATATTTTACTTTGCGGGGTTCTCTAATAGTGGACTCTTAGAGACATCTGTAGTGTGATTTGCATCTCATGAATTATATTTATTACAAGTCCTTAAATGATCCCCTAGATGAAGGCTCAGCACTGAGGTACGTATGGGTTACGTTCCCAGGAAAAGTGTTAATCAAGCACACCAGTTGACTGGCTTAATCCCAAAACAAGAAAAACATTTCTGACAGCTCTTCCGAGAGACCATCCTATTGCTGCATCAGGAAGCAAGTTGCCATTGAATGGTCTAACCAAGAGTTCACGGTGATTAGATATCAAACAAAGAGGTAGAAAGCCTAGGTTTCTGGCTGCTGGGGTCCTGTCTCCCCTGGCACAGAGCTCAGCTCTGACATTCCACAACTTCCAGGGTGTGCGCGGTGACATCCGAGGCCCGGAGTTCCCTTCCCGGCCTCGCGTCTCACTGGAGGGGAAGAGTGAGGCAGGCAGGGAGTGGAGGACATCCGTGAGGATGGCAGATGGGCTCCTAAGTCCTTGCTGTCACAGCCACGCCCTAAGTCCCGCTTCTCTTCCATTGTCAACCTCGAGGAGGCCCTTCACCCAGGGAACACGAGGAATTTTGTGTATGAATACTTAACTCTCTTGTAACGAAATCAAGAAACTCATTTAGAATGTGATAGGCAGCTAAAATTATTATGCCCACTGTGTTCAATTAGGAGCAGAATTTAGTTAAAAAATACTTTTCCACATTGAAACACTTTGCAAACACAAGTATCTATGAAGAGACGCTTTGTCAGTGACTGTTTTTCCTCTGTGAAGACTCAATGTGCGTCTATGTGAGTGTATATATATTATATATGTATATGTATGTCTGTATTTCAAATGTCAGTGTAAAAGTCGGTTGGGTTTAAGATGAGCTTTGGAAATAATACCATTGTGTGGATTTAAAAAAATCCAACCGATGTAGAGAAAATACAATGTTTTGTATTGATAGGTACGCTTATATAAAATTTTTAGGTTTTAAGTATTTTGAAATACATAGTGATTTTATATATATAATATTTTCTATAGATAGATTCTTTAAGACAGCTGTATTTATAATGTTTCTAATATGAAATCACTAAACTCTAGTACATTGTAACAGGTGCTTTCTAATCTGAAGTGGAGTGGGGTTGGGGACATTTGGGTGTTCCTGTTGACTTGTCTCTGTGCCACCTTCTCTGCATCTCTGTCTTGGTAGGTCCAGAAAAAGCCAGTACTACCAGCTTGGGTACCATTTCCCTGTTCCCACGCTTGAATTTGTAACCTTTAGAACAAAAGGTTGTTTTTATTTTCTTAGGCTTACCAAAATGTTTTTTTTAATTAATCACACTTATATAAAATTCTCTCCAGAAATTAAAAAATACATAAACGTATTCTCTCCATTGATAAAAACAGCTTAAATTACCTTTTTTATACTAGGAAATATGTTTTTATAACATTTTCAGAGAGAAACTTCTTATAATAGCACCTTAATTGGATACTCTTTGAAAGAGAAGATGGTTTATGAACAACCATATGAGGGCTATCTTACCTTACAGTTAACAAGGTACTATGCAAATTCAAGTTTAAAAATTATTTATGAGAAAACTTATATTAGAACTTATAGATTATTGTATATTCACATTTTTCCTAGAGATAAATATCAGGAAAACTAAGACCAAAACCTCATTTGGGATGTATACATTAAAACAAAGCTAATGTTGATATATATAAAACTTTACTATTATGAACTGTAATTGATGGAAAATATTTGTTTCAGAATTATGTTCCTTTAAAAGATAAGAGTGCCTCTCAATTTTTCTGAATAAAGATTTTTAAACTTTTTTAATAAGAAATTTTTGAATTTTATATTCTGTGCCACTTAAATCTACTTGAACCATTTAATATATCTTAAAGAAATTTAACAACGGGTTCCTCAAGTTCAGTTTTTAAATTTTAAATATTAGCCAAAATATTTTGCAGGTAATTATTATAGTATCCTGGATTAGAGTCTGTATTTACCACATTGTTTTCTAAACGTATTTGAATGCTTGGCAAGGAGAAAAAGGAAGAGTAACCGCCCTCTAGTGCTGCTGATGCCACAGGGGCAGGTCGCTCTTCTGTCCTCTTAGGGGGGCCTTTTCCGACACTACAGCCCGCGAGATGAAGTCATGCCCAGATGCCAACCCCATCCCCCACCCCGTCACGTGGCTCACTCTGTTCTCGGCCTGATTTCTCCTGATGGGCTTCAAGTTAACACCAAAATACAAGTTCCACTGAATTTTAAGGATTAGATCGTACATCATGGAGTATTAAAATTCACACGATTAGTGTGAATTTGGGGCAGGGGGTATTAACTGTTTAATTTTACTAGTACTAGTGCCAAAATAAAAAAGTGCCTTCTCTGTACATGTTCTACATAACGTCCTCTAACATGCTCTAAAATATCGAGGGAAATAGTGCCAAAGTTCATGTAGTACAAAATACCAGCCCAGGTCATTTTTTAATGTAGATTTGAAAATAAGGCTGCTTCGCTTTGTTGTTTAGCTGTTTTCTTTCCTCCTTGTATAATTATGTTTAAATATTTTTTAAATGGCTCTCTGTTTTCTGGGTTTTGAGAGGCCACCTCTGTTATTGTTGTGGTTGTTGGTTTGGTTGCTGGTTTTTGTAACCTTCATTATTGTTTGTATGTACCCAGTTTAGCCTTACTGGTTTCAAATGCGTTTCGTTATGGCTCAACCCCGCTGGCAACCCTGTGAGCTGGGAGCACTATGCTTCGCTTTTTTTCACTATGGCCAAAGCCACTGCCACAGTTTCTGGCCTTGAGGAGCTTTTGCTGACCACTGGGACCCCCTGGCGATCACAAACCAGGCCCCTGGGCTGGTTCCAGGGCCAGGCATCCCGCAAAGTGTGAGCACCCGTAGCTACCCCTGGTGGGCGGGGTCTTAGGACGTCACAGGAGGGTATACATACAGTAAAAGCCTTCACATGCAAGTAAGGTAGTTTGGGGTCCTTAATGCCAGTTCCAAATATCTCGTGAGTACATCAAGGTGAATGATGAGGAAGCTCCGGGTCTCCTGGAAGGGGTGGCTGCTCCCTGGAACCGGCGCCGCGGGGCCCGGCTTACCTGACCCTAGTCCCTCCACTGACAGCCTCGCGGGGGGCGTGCGGGGCCATGGTTCAGTTCACACAGAACCTCGTATCGCCACCAAGTATTTACAGAACCAGTGTCTCCGGCCCATGCCTGGTTGGCAGGCTCTTCCCCTTCGGTGTCCACTAGGGGTGCCCAGTTGTCTTATGGATTTGTTTTGTTATCCTTGTACTCGATAGAAACTGTTGACCGAGCCCAAAACCCTGCAAGAATTCTGTCTGTAAAAACCAACAGGTACATTGGACTTGCGAATGTAAAGGTTTTTTGTTTAGTAGGTAATTTTAAACTTAAATGTTTTTAATGATAATCAGTTTTCCTTTTTACTTATGAAGTTGGATTATTTTTTAGAATTTGTAATAAATAAAAACCATTGCTGCTTTACCACTGTAAAATAGGCTTTCTAATGTGACCATGTATTTTTTAAATAAATTTTAATACAACTTGTAACGTAGTGTGCATGTGTATCGCATATACCAAAGTATGCATTTCACGCATACCTCATTTAAACTGCCTCTTTAATTTGGGAAGTTTTAAAGCTCAGAAATATAGTACAGTCTAAACTGAAAAAAAATTATATCGTTAAGAACACTTACCTGGTTAGCCTGGGACGAACCAAGTCCTAGAGGATAAAAGAGATGTCTTTACACTGTCCCCAATCCTTAGGGCACAGTCCAAAAAACTATGGGAGCTCACCAGCCCAGGACCAGCACTTCCGAGGTCCTGCCACTTCAATTGGCCTTTAATGGACTGATCTCTTGGACGTCACTTTTGTCGGTGAGAAACTCCTCAATGCGTTCCCGACCAAATCATAGCCTTCAATAATTGGTGATCAGTTGTGTGTAACTACAAAATATTTTTACTATATAGTGAATAAATATTTACCAACTTCAACCCTCTTTACCCTCTGGGAAGGAGGAGTCAAAAGTCTTTCTGACACGGTTCAAGTTATTTAAAATTGCAGATCTCTTGAATTAGCGTAATTTTGGAATGTCTTTCTGTATATAGTGAATTCCTATTGGTTCTAGTGAATCGGAGAGAACACCATGTTGAATTTTAAAACTTTAATATCAATTTAGCCAGTATTGAAAACCAAACTAAAACAGCAAAGTGTTTCCCAAGTAGAAGCCTAAAACCTCATTTATCTAATTGTTGACTTGATTAGGGTGGCTACTAGGTTTTGATGGCCCACCTCTGCTCTGGTACCGTGGGATCATATGAAAAAAGTGATGTCCCGGGAGCTGTGTCAGGCTTTGGGTCCAGCCAGTTACCCCGGGAGACAGGACACCTTTGTGTTCTTTAAACAAGGCCACGAACAGCCTTCCTTTTCAGGCTAAGGGCTCAAGGCCCACGGAGTGCTGATGGCGCTGACAAGCCTCCATCTGTGTAGACAGAGTGAGTCATTTCACTCATCCCATTAAAGTATCTCAAAAAAAATTCTCATAGGCATACAAAACTCACCCATCACCACATTATCACAAAGTAGGGTCAAAGTATGGGGAACACTACCTAAAAACAAGTTCAGCTCAATGCCAATTTACGTGAATCATTTGAGTAACAGTTTCATAGCCAACTCAAATACTTTTAGGTGCTGGAGATTTCAGATGTCATAAATCGTGGTTACAAAATCCTTGTGACTCTCTGCTAAGGCTGGAGCAGTCAACGTGGAGAGGAAAACAGAAGACAGTCTGCACTACCCAGGAGTATTATACGGCTCAGGGCGGCTCGTAGCTCCGCAAGAGGGAACAAGCTCGGATCTCCGGGCTTTAGATCCCTTAATCCACAAGGACTACAGCACTGTCGTGGTTCAGGTTTCTGGGGTCTCCCAATGGCTGGGTCTCCAGGTCTCCATTATCTAGCCCACCTGCTCACCGACGCCTGACATTCAGGCAAAGATCACGTGTTTCACTGCCTTCGTAGAAATCAGACCTAAAGTCCAATGTTCTTGCAACTGAAACATTGACCTAGGTTGGCGTTAAGTTGTAAATAACTTACAGAAGATGCTTTTCAAAAAGGGAGCGTTTAAAGCCGATAAGCAGGGAAAACAAACAGGCATGGATATTTGAAGTAGGAAGGAGGGACGCCATCAAGTAAAGAAAAAGCAAAGGAAGGAGAGGATGTTGGTTTTAAGTCATTTACATTTTAGCTTAGAGTTGTCCCTCTTTCTGAGGCCTTAGACGCTCTTGTAACTATTAGAGAGAGAATGCATCTTACGATATGCTGCCTCCTGGGGCTAGGAGAGGAATCTTTTTTGCCTCTGTCTATTTTAAGGAGACCAAGGTCCTGAGGTTCTTGCCTTACCCTTTGGTGTCTCTTGATGAGTGGGACTGGGAGCATCAGAAATGTCTGGTGTTTTTGTTAGAATAAGAGTATTTAAAACAACTAAAGTTAGCTCTCGCTAAAACCTTGAAACATTAAAAAAATACTGGTTGTATTTCTATACTTGATCAAGAGAAGTTAAAAAGGTGTATTGTGGGGGTAGGGAGGAGATGTCCAAAATATAGGTGTCCTTTTTTTGGGGGGGGGGGGGCACTTACCTAACAAATTCCTGATGTTATTCAACCAGAAGACAAAAAGGTAAAAGGAGCAGAAGAGTAGGATAATTTTCCAAGACAGAGTAGTTTTCACTGCCATTAATTAAAAGGTATAATGAAAAACGCTACATGTAAAATACTTCACAAACTAGGAGACCATGACGGAAGCACTGGTACCACCTTCCAGGCTGGCTGCTGCTGCTTACCATTCATCAGAGATGCACTGCGAACCAACTTGTGCTTCTGAAAAAAAGGGAAGGAAATACGCTTTTTATAGACCTACGTCGGCCGGGGCATCCACTCACACCCCGGGATCATGCTCACTTCGCTCTCGCTTCCGTTCCCTGGCCTCAGTTCCCCTCTCTCCAGCTCCGCATGGGCTCAGCCAATGCCCGGGGCTGCCGGCCACGCTCTTTAGAGGAAGGCGACGATGCACAGCCGCTTGGATGATGCTGTGCCCTGCTGAGGGTGACAGTGGGTCCCTGGACACTGAATTTAAAAGGCTGTTTCTGTGTTCTCAGCCTCCTCTCTTCCCGCATCAGGAAAGGGCTGCTGATTCAGGGAAGCTCGGACCCCAGGCCAGTGCCCTCTCTGAGCCGCTCTGTGCTCCGTGGCGTCCGGGGTGAGCGGCTCGCACACACTAAATGCTAATTAGCATGGGTGGAGGGAGCAGACAGGCAACAGTTAATAAAGAAAACGTGAGTTTTGTTGCTACTATAATCATTGATCTAAAAACCCAAGACATACCAGTTTTAAAAACTGTATGGAAAACAGTATGGTGGTTACCAGGGGGAGGGGGGATTGGGGCATAGTAAAGGGTCAAGGGGTCAAATATATGATGACAGAAGATTTGATTTGGGATGTTAAACACACAATGCAATATGTAGACACTATGTCATAGAACCGTACACTCGAAACCTATATTATTTTATGTGTCAATGTCAGCTCAATTAATTTAAAAAGATACATACAAAAGTTAATCATGCCTTAGGAATCCGGGCTTCAAGTTGCATTTGACCTGTAAGACACTGCTTATTTGAATTGGCCAATATTATAGCAATGGTTGGAGAAAGAATGGAAAAGATTAACATAAACAGAGATTCTAATAATAAAATTCTTTCTCACCCTAGAGACAAAGCGAACAGGGTTTCACAGTGAAATAGAACCTACAAAAAATACAACATTGGCAGTTTTATTTTTCAGATTCAGAGACATCATGAAGTTGTCTCATTCAAGGATAATAAGCCTTGTGATTGGGCAGTTTCGTGCCCCGGAAAGCCCCTGTGTTTCTTGTAACCCTTGCTCCCACCCCAAGCGACCGGGACCGTTCTGGAGGGCTGCCATAGTCAGGGCCTGCAGGCCGCGCAGCCTGAGCAACAGAACTGGACGCGTGCAGTTCTGGAAGCTGGAAGCCCAGGATCAGATGTCAGCAGGGCTGGTGTCTTTTGCGGCTTCTGTCCTTGGCTCGTAGATGGTCAGCTTCTCCCTGTACTTTCACATGAGTTTCCCACTGTGCCTGAGTCTGTGTCCAAGTTTCCTCTTTATTCTTACAAGGATATCAGTCAGGTTGGATTGGAACCTACTCTAATAACCTCATTTTAACTTAATTATCCCTTTAAAGGCCTCAGCTCCAAATGTGGTCACATCCTGGAGGTCAGAGCTTCATCATTTAAATGGGCGGCGGGGGCGGGGGGGGGGTGTAAATTCGGCCCATAACATAGACCTAGGATAGTTTAGATACTTAAATTTAGCTAAAGTGCATATGATATAGTGGAAGCTCGGGAAGTAAAATTCCAAAAGTATTTCCTGTATACCACTTACCTAATTTGAAAGTGTAATGGGGGAAATTGTATTCATAGCAAAACAAATAAATACGCCAGAAAAAAGAAATAAGCCTATCAAGTAACAAGCAAGACTTACATAGGAAAAATACATAACTATACACACGTGTATATGTATGTGTATACACATATATTCACGATGCCACATGACATTCATATTCAGGTAGCCTAAAGTTAGCTAAAGTGTACTGACTGACATAAAAAGAAGGAATGCAGAACTTCAAAACTGTTGTCCTAATATCAGCATGAACCAATTATAAAGCATAATGGGAACATAAAAGTAAACTTGACTACATGCAAAGATATATAACATTATGACATTCCTGGATGGGAAGACTTAATATTGTAAATACGTCCCTTCTTTCCCAAAACATAAATTTAATGCAAACATAATCAAAATACAGGATGATTTTTACTGAGATTGACAAGCTGCTTCCAGACTTCATTTGGAAAAGAAAATTTGCAATGACAATTAATAGGAGAACAAAGATGGGGGCATCCTTGCCCAAATATACAATAAAACATACCATAAATCGGTACCAGTCAATGCAGTGTGGTGTTTCTATAGGGACAGATGAAGAAATCAATAAAGCAAAATAGACTACAAACAGACCCATACATGTGTGCCATTCAATACACACTGAAAGCCAATTAAAAAAGATAGAAAAAAGGACCAATCCCTTAACAAATGATATTGACCATCCAACCAGACAATAAAGTTAGATTTCTAACTTGTGATACCAAAAAAAGGTACTCATATATATGGAGATGTATTTAAAGGCTAAACATGAACAACAAAATTATGAAAGTTTGAGATGGAAATATAAAATAGCTTTGTAATTCGAGGCCGAGAAGGCCTACTAAAGGGAGTATAAAACTGAGAGGCCATGAAAGACATTTATTGAAAATCCACGATTACTTAAGCATTTGTTGTAATTGCTTGAAAGAACACATTGCTAGCAAAACTAAAACAGGAGCAAGACGGGACGAAAATGTCCGCAGCATGCATTAACACCAAAGAGCTTACTAGCCAGAATATATTAAGATTCTTCTAAGACAATAAGGGAAAGAACTGAATTTTCAAAAGTAGGCCAACACGATAAAGTGCTGATCCTAAATAGTAAAAAAGAAATTCGAATTGAAAGAGCGTAATTGAGATTTCGTACCCCGGCCTCCCGCACCCAGAGGCCATGAACTCTGGAGTCTGAGCCTTGCTGGGGAGACTTCGCACAGTTTATATTGGGTGAGATATTTTCAAGTTTCATTTGAAGACAGATTTAATTGCTGGGAATGAGTTTAGAATGTGAGTTTAACTAGTTTAAATGCTTGCCTCCAGGCCGGTGTCCACTCCTCAAAAGCAGGAATGATGTCTTAACCTTTATATCCATAACAACGAAGACATAGGAAACATCTGGGGAGCTCAGGTGAGTCTTGGGCGTTGTTGTGCGCTAGTGGCAGAGACAGGACTTGAACCTTGGACTTCCTTACTCCCAGGCAGCTGTTCTCTCCGCTGCAAATTCTAGAGTTCTTCACCGCTAGGAATGGTGAAGCTGGGACCAGAGCTGGCAATGGAAGATAGAATTCTTGGTTCCTCAGGCATGAAGTGGCTGCTAAGCACTAGTTTGTCATAACCTCCAGCACTTCTTCCGCTGGGTGCTGAGGAAGAAGTCCCTCCCTGTTATTTCCAATGCTTTTAGCTGTGTCGTTTAAATGAACAGGCCTGGGAGCGAGGCCCACTCCCCACCTGGGGGAATACACGGGCCTGCCCACACCTGCAAGCTGCTTTGACCTTAGGAGTCTGCAAGCTCCGAAACCTGCCATGGCTCTGTGCGGAGAGGCACGCGGATGCGGGTCCCCTACCCCAGCGCAGCCCCACCACCCCCGGCCGCAGACTCTCGGTCCAGTTTCGTTTCCCACTCCGCTCCCATGGTCAACCCGCCCTTCCCATCCGGCCCGGGAAAGCGGTCTAGCCAGTTCTTGCTTTGCTCCTTAGCCCGCGCTCTCCCCGAGGGCGATGGCCAAACAACCCCAACAACGGAGAGGACACACTCCTCTGCCGCCCGCCACCCTGTCCCTCCTCTCCAAATTCAGGCCCTACCCCTCGGTGGTTTCCCCCTCTCCTCTAACTTGAACTCATCTCTCTGGACTCCTCCAATATGCATAGCATATACTGCGCCGTTTAGCACTTAATTATATTTTGGTTTGCAGTGTTTCTTTCTTTTCATCTTAATCGCCTCCTCAGCACGCTTCGTAATGAGCACACAGAAGGGCGCAAGGGGAAGAAGGTGCTAGAACTGAGGAGCCTCCTGCCAGAAAATAGATACTACATTGAGAAGCAGCCCAGAGCGCTGATCTTAACTCAGAACAGGGATGTTGGGAATGGGGGCGGTGCTGGGGGCAGGGCAGCGCTGCTGCCGGTGCTCGAATCTGGTCTCTGGCACAGTCCTCAAGAACAACCGAGGGCAAGGGGCTCGTTAGTGAGCACAGGGGGTAGGCCTTCTAGGAATGAAACATGCCGGGGGCACTTCTTTTACAGAGCGGTAGGGCTCTGCCGCGCTTGTCGGAAGACGTTTCAACAATTGTGGTTAAATGTGACCCTGTCGGTACCGCAGGGTTGCGCTGGGCCTTCTTGAAGTTGGTAACCTTGAGAAAAACGCCTTGTTGGAGAAACCGAAGGACTGGCCGCCCACGTTTCGCCCTTGCCCTTCATCTGGGCGCAGGGAAAAAGCGCGGCGCTTCACCGCTCCGCCAGGGGGCAGGAGAGGTCACATTACAGAGAATTAAAAAAAAAAAAAAAAAAATCCCAAAACTTTTCCCCCCCAAACTGTGTTCCTCCTCATGAAACCGAATCCTCCAGCTGTGGCGTCCCAGGCGCCCGCCCCGACCCGCCGCGGCTCCCGCCCCGAGGCGGCGTCCCTCGCCCGCCGCCACCCCCTGCGCCCCTGCCCGCGCCCCTGCCCTCGCCCTGCGCTGTCCGCGCGCCTCGGACCCGCTGTCCCCAGCACCTTTGCCCCGGCCCTTTGCCCTGAAGATGAAGGTGTGGCTGCTACTTGGTCTTCTGCTCGTGCACGCAGCGCTAGAGGATGGTGAGTGAGTCCGGGTGGGGGTTACAGGTTTGTGCCCCGACTACAGCCGAGGTCTCCCAACCCTTGCGCTCCAGCCCGCTCTTCCTCCAGCTCCTGCCCCTCCGAGGCTCGGCCCTGGCGCCGCTCCCGGCCGCGTGCACCTGCCCCCTGCTAGTAGGGTCCCTTTATCTCCCTCTCTCCACCTCCGCGGGACTCCCTATGGAGGACGGTGGCAGCTACCCCGGCTCCTAGGTCCCCACCAGGAACGCTCCAGCGCTCCCAGAAAGCCCTTGGCGGGCAAACCGAGCATCCCCAGCCAGCGCCTGGTCCAGCCCCCAGTGTCAACGTGTCGGTCTGGGAGGTGGCGCGGAGCGGTGGCCGGCTTCCACCTCCGAGCCTCCGCGTTCGCTCCGGGATCTCTTCTTCTGAGGGCGGGTGCCACCTGAGCAAGGCAATTGCTGGTTCTTTTGCAAAATTCGAAGTGTCTTCCTCCTCCTAGCCACCAGTCCTGCGTTTGTTTCCTCTACCACCTAGGGCTTGAATCCTGCAAGATCTGCCTAAGTCCTAGACCAGATGTTTCTATGGATTAAACCTCAAAAGGAATCAGGACCCCACAGCTGTCAATGATACTTCTTATCTGAGTGGGTGGGAAAGCCAGAAAATGTGTTTTTCTGCAAGGAACTCTTGTGCCTCTGTACTTTTTCCAGTGTGTGCCTGGTCTGGGCCCTCCCTGTTTTGTAGACTCACAACCATAGGGTCAGGCTTTATTTTTATGTATGTGTGTTTGTGAATGTGTTGTTTATATCTGTGTCTATATCCATATTATTGTTAGCATTTAATTGTCTTGCTGGCCCCATTATTTATTCAACTGGCATTATTTGTACAGTACATTTTGCACCTGGGGGCATCCTGGCATTCCCAAACCCTCCCTTGGAATTCCTCAGCTACAGCCACAACTTTTGCTTAGTTTTGGTTGAAAAGCAGCTTTTGCTGTTATGCAACCTCACCCTGGAGCCAGCTCAACCTGGCTCACATTTTATCCACTACTCAGCCCTGACCAGTTCCTTTCTTTCCCGTGAAACTAGGAGCATTTGCCCCAAAATACCACCTTCTAGTTTGCAAAGTTCAGGAAGGTTGTGGGACTTGAAGCTGAGCATAAGGATCCTTAAGCCTGGAGTTCCACTGAATAAAGTGTAGGGAGCGTCTGTACTCCGAGAAGCAGCAGGTACATACTCTTTGCCCAGATAGGAGTTCGAAACTGCGATATGAAAACACTCCTGATTGCTGAAGTGATGGAAATGCAGCATTTGGGGGTTTTTTGTTTTGGTTTTTGAATAGGGCAGGAGATGGCCAGACAGAATAATTCCAGACAGCCCACTCACTTGATTATACAGCTCACCCAGATGCTTGCCTCGGAGGCCCGGGAACCAGCGTTAACCGCTGCCTCCCGGATTTTTCCCATCCGTGTATGCCCAGACCACAGGAATGGTTACAAACAGCCCAAGTCAGTTAGCATTGTTTTAATCCAATATCATTTACACAAGTAATGAACATGTATGCGACAGAGAAAGTTGAACGCAGCCTAAATATTTTATAAGAAATAATTGATCACTGTTAGATGTGACATTAGCATTATATATATATAATTATATATATATTAGCACAATAGCATCGTGGCTTTGTTTTTTAAAGTATATACTTCAAAATAGATGGCATAGACAATGATGAAAATATTGAACACATAATTAGGGAAGCAAACCTGACTCATTAAATTATATAACAGTTTCCCTAAACTTATTCAAGGATGCTTTTTCTGGTTTGAGTTATGGTGTGGTTGGCTGGGGCCAGGCACAGGCCAATGCGAGTGCCAGGCTCTGATTAGCAGGTTGGGATGTGGCACAAGGCCAGTTGCGGACACAAGCTCATGACTCAATGTATCCCACTGTCTTTCCATTTTTCTGACCACTTTTAGGAGTGGCATTCTGGTAGAAAAAAAGCTTCCCTGCGAGCATGTATTAGGCGTAGGGCTGTGTTTGCCTGGCCTAATTCTAACCCAGTAACATTTGCCTGGCTTAATTCTAAAATACTTTACATTTTGAGAAGTAATGTTATTTCTCTTCATGAACAGTGGGAGCTGGAAGGGCACGTGTTACTCTTGTAGCATGAAAGTGAGGTGTGAAAACAGTTACTAAACAGCCCGAGGTCCCCCTGAGAGCGGCAGCACCTGATTTTCAGCATCTGTCTGGAACGTGTGCCGCTGTATTTATTGATGGGTGCTGCTATTTCACATTAAGAAGTATAAAATCACAGGCACTTAGTGACTTTTGATTGTCTATTTATTTTATCCAATGTCAGGAGCAAGTGATAAAGCCTAAGTATTGATTTGCTCCTGCTGTTTTGTTGACCGTGATCAATGCTAATCTGATCTTCAGTCTCACGTGGGTTTAAGTGGGACCCTGGGAAGGGTCCTCTCCCTGGGGGGACTGAGCAGATTCTTTGTGATGTGAGGGCAACACAGCCAGGCCCACATCTGTACAGAGAGCCACTCGGGTGACCGTTCTCTAACCAGGACACTATCATTTTTTGTGTCTCACTTTCTTCCTTGGAAAAAGAGAGTAAAAATTGTTCAGAAGTCCTTATAATGAGAGAAGAATTGTAAAAAATTCTCATTGTTGACAAGTGCGAGTCATGACCATTTTGAAGCATTTAGGATGTTGGCCTGTATGTTTGACGTAGAAAATCATCTCTGAGCCGTAAGCCCAGAAAAGAGACAAGTTGGCGGGCCAGAGGGAGACCGGGGGTGCCGGCCCCGGGAGTGAGAGAAGTGCCGGGAACCGCGGCTTTTCCTGCACAACGTTGTAGAGCCTTTACGTGTGGTGCTCGTGGTGTAATGGGGAGGACAGATGAAGAATGGACAAGGCAAGATTCATGGCAGGAAGTGAGAGCGGCCAGGAGAATCAGTAGTCGGGGCGTATGAGCCCCTTGGGCGGCTGTCACAAAGTGGCACAAATGAGGTGGCTTCAGACAACAGAACTCTCTTGTTGCAGTTCTGGAGGACGCAAGTCCGAAACGAAGGTGGCAGCAGGGCCATGCTCCGCGGACACTCTGACTGGTGTCCTTCCTGGCCTCTCCCAGCTGTGCTGGTGGCCGGTGTTCTAGGCTTGCAGCTGGGTTGCTCCAATCTTTGCCTCTGTGGTCACCTGGCTGTCTTCTCCCAGTGTGTCTCTCTCATCACACGGCTCATTTTCCTCTGTGTGTGTGTGTATGTGTGTGTGTGTGTGTGTGTGTGTGTGTCTTCTCTTCGTTTAAGGACACCAGCATGTCGGATTAGAGCTCACTCTAATGCGCTCATCTTAACTTGGGTCTGTCTGCAAAGATCCTGTCACCACATAAGGTCTCCTTCACCAGTACCAGGGGTTAGGACATCCATGTATCATTTTGGGGACACGATTCACCCTGTAACACAGGGCAAGAGAACAGAGAGCGCTGCGGACGGAGTGAGAGTGTGGTTTGAAGAGGAGAAGCAGGGGGAGCAAATGCCGCAGGTGTCTGAATGGCAACAAGCCAAGGACCCCCGGGGCTCGGCAGCCTCGGGGTGGCCAGTGTGGCTGAAGGACCATGAGCTGTGGAACAGGAAAGGGCAAAACCTTGTAGGCCACGGGAAGACTTAGGGCTTTATTCCGAATTAGATGAAAGCTGGACAGAGTCTTGAGCGGAGGTGCGCCCATGATCTGGTTTATGTTTTCAAAGTTCGCAGTGCCGGGGGGGAAGCCAGCAGCCTCCATGCGGGGCAGTTTTAATGGTCTCGTGGCTCCGTGCAGGGCTCTCACAGGGGCGGAGGGAGAAGGGATTGGGTCTGTTTTGAAGGCAGAGCCATGAGGATTTGCTGCTGGATCGGAGGTGGTTTAGGAGAGGAAGGAAATAACCATGTGTGACTGAGGAGTTTTTGTCCTGAGAAACTGCGTGAAGAGAGTTGCCATTTGCTGATAGAGGGACGCGGGGAAGGAGCGTTCTGCAGGCGTCCAGAGTCAGTGTGGACACGTTCATTTGGGGTTGCCGGCCAGCTTTCCTAGTGGCAGTGCTGAGTAAGCGATTCAGACCTGGAGTTTAGAGGCGAAGTCAGGACAGCGACAAGGCAGCTCTCAGCATATAAATGCTGCCAAGGCCCAGGGGACTGTGTGAGGCCACTTAGAGATTGAGTGTCATTAGCGACTGAGAGGAGTTGCAAGGATAAAGCCCTTGGGACTCAGCAGGAAGGAAAAGAAGCTGAGGAAAGGCTGCTAGTGACAGAGGAGAAAAGCCAAGCCAGTGCCGAGTCCTGGGAGCCAAGCAAATAAGGGTGTTTCAACAAGAGAGGGGTCATTTCCCAAGATGCATGCACACGTCGAATCATTATGTTGTGCAGCTGAAACCAACATAATGCTATTAAATTATTAAATAATGCTCCATTAAAACAAAGAAAAAGAAGCACGATCAACCCTGTTCTGATGGATATTCTGAAAAAATGCTGCAAAGTAAGGTCTTTACCTTGGAGTAGAAGTATCGAATTCTTAGAGATGGCTCCCTGCAGAAAACGGTGCTTTGAGAACTGGTAGGGTCCTTTGGAGTGGGCTTGTAGAAGGCAGCAGGGAAGGAAAGGCTCTCATCCTTTTACCTTTTCATCTCCTGAGCATCAGGGCTTTCCTGCCTGCTCAGCTCTGGACTTGGAAAAGTCTCTACGTTCCCTTGGGTGTTTTATGAGGAATGGAAAATTGTGAGTGAGGCGCGGCTCTCAGTGCATACAACCCCAGAGCTGCTCCACACACGGACAGCATGGTGGCTTGGCCGCTGCCCTCAGGGCAAGCCTTTCCCCTTGCTTCCCATGGGGAGCAAACACCAAACAGCGACGGGGCTTCGATGTTAACACTACTCACACGTAGTCCCCATCTAAGCAGCAGCCAGGGGTTCTTCGGATGAATGTATTTTCTCTTCCAACACGGTTCTATGGAATTAGAGAGGTTCACAGTCAGGGCAGCTCTGCTGAATGAGGGTTAATTGAATTCTCAGTTAATGCTGAAGAATCGCAGTCCCTTCTCCTGCTCTGTAACATTTATCCATTCATTTTGGAGACAGGATTTTGCCCAGCGGCCCCACGCTTGGGGAGTCTAATGTATGCCTTGGAAAAGCATCTCTAGCCTTTCCAGGAAGGTTGTGCTCTCATCCCTGGCATCAAGTTTTGTTTGACTTGGAACTCATTGTCAAAGCCCAGAGCATAGCAAACAAAGAAACCACTTAGACAATGGCTCTGTGCATGCGATTTGTGCAAATAAAGTGAAGCTGCTACAGTATTTTAATCTCTATGTGAAATAAAAGGCAACGGCATGAACCAGAGAAGGCTGTAGACTTGGAGTCGAAGGGTCTGGTTTTTCACTTCCTCCTTGGTGACCTGGGGTGAACTGCTTGGCCTCTGTGATCTCAATTTGCTTTCACCTGTATCTTAGGAAGAATAATCGCCTCTCTGTCTTCGTCACGAGTTTCTCATGGAGCTCACTGTGAGGCGACCACAAAACAAGCAGCACTTACCTGGCACTTCCTGTGGGTCAGACACTGTTCCCAGTATTTTAAAATATTAACTCATTTATTCCCTACTATCCATGAGAGAGTCATTAGTACCATATAATTCTCAATTCACGGATGAGGCCTCTGAGGCACAGAGAGGCTAAACGACTCCCCGCGGTCACAGGGATGGCAGGCGGCGGTCAGGGCCTGGAGGCAATGATGGTGTGTAACGGTTTGTGAATTTTACCGCCTCTTTCTCTATAAAATACAGTCGTCTCAGAAAAATGCCCTGGGAAAGGGCTTTCACTTTTAGTTATCTACAATATAAACTCTTATGCGTTTTAGGGCTTTGAGAAATAATTGACCTAGTTAGGCTGAGGAGTCACATTCTTCCGAAAGGAGACACAGGATTTGGGAGTCACTCAACCCCAGGACTGTCTGGGTGTCTGGGGCCACTGATCCGACTCCTTGAACCTAGTGTCGTTACCATAAACCAGGGACCAGTTCCATGGTCAAGCAGCTGGACCAACTATATCGTTAGGTTGATGGATGTGCCTGTTGGGCCAAAAGGTGAGATGATTTTGTGGGGAGAAGAGCATGTATTTGGATGCACAATATTCATGATTAGGTGATCACATGCTCCTGAGTACGAGAGCCACAGGGACCTGAGAGCTTACAAGTCAGAACAGGTGGTGCCGGCCGCCCAAGTTCCATAGGACTTACAGGCAGCCGCCATGTTTGGTAGCTTCAATTCTAATCATGTGATGAAGAAAACACAGCCTTTTATCATTTTTAATTTAATCTTTATTGTATGTTTTTTTCCATTACCATTTAGTCCCCCTATACCCCCCTCTCCCCAGCAATCACCACACTGCTGTCCACGTCTGTGAGTCCTTTTTCCTTTTTGCTCAATCCCTCCACCCTCTAACCTCCTCCCCCACCAACGAGCTGTCATTTGTTCTCTCCCTATGAGTCTCTCTCTGTTTTGCTTGTTAGTTCCGTTTGTTCATTCGATTCCATATATGAGTGAAATCATATGATATTTCTCTGACTGGTTTATTTCACTTAGCATAGTGTTCTCCAGGTCCACCCATCCTGTTGCAAAGGGTAAAATGTTCTTTTTTATGGCTGAGTAGTATTCCATTGTGTAAATGCCCCATAGTTGTTGTATCCACTCATCTATTGATGGGTATTTGGGCTGCTTCTGTATCTTGGCGATTGTAAATAATGCTGAAATGAACATAGGGGTGTTTATGTTCTTTTGCATTAGTGTTTTGAGTTCCTTCAGATATATTCCCAGAAATGGGATAGGTAGGTCAAAAAGCAGGTCCATTTTTTATTTTTTGAGATATTTTCCTTCTGCTTTCCACAGTGGCTGCACCAATCTGCATTCCTACCAACAGTGCATGAGGGTCCCCCTTTGTCCACATCCTCACCAGCACTTGCTGTTTGTTGATTTATTGATGACGGCCATCCTGACAGGGGTGAAATTGACATTGAGCACCTTCTCACATGCCATTGGCCGTCTGTATGTCCTCTTTGGAGAAGTATTTATTCAGGTCCTTTGCCCATTTTTTAATTGGGTTGGTTGGAAAACACAGCATATTAGATATCGATCCAGAGGTCCATGAATCTCATAAGCACGGTGCGATTAAAAGGCACAGATGATTCGATATCATAATAGTAGGTTTTTATTTTCTTCCTTAAGAAAAATACTGTGACTTTTACTTTATTGCAAAACAGAGGCTTATGCCTCACAATCGATATTGCTGGCAAGGATACATCTGTTGGCCTGACATGTTTTCCATGGTTACAGTGCCTTTCCTTCAGGGGGGGCTAGGGAAGTGTGTGTATACTTGCCCTGCCCACTCTCTGTCATTAGAATCCCAGGGGTAAATAAATGAAAATGCAGGGTCAGGGGACGTCTTGGCAAATGGCATGTTCAGCAGCAGGTACTGGGGACTGTCATTGGAGACTGGGGCTCAGGTACACAATTCTGCTCCCTGGAGGGACTGAGAGAGCTCGGCAGGGCTCGTGGCCCAGAGGAACCAGAGTAGAGGCAGGGACTCGGGCCTGGGGGAGGAAAGCAAGGTCACAGCTGGACCTGAAGTTCCGGCACCTAGAGCAGGGCTCAAGGGACGAGGCCTGCAAAACCCATCGAGGCTGCGAACCAAGGAGATGGCCTTGCTATTGAGCTGGGGTGGAACTGGGTCCAGAGCCCGGGCCAGGCTGCATGAACTAAGAGCGGGGGCTAAATGGCTCCTGTTCTGAAAGACAAAAGGTAATACGCAAAGGAAGCCGAGCTCATCCTTACGCAGTGGAATCCAGGGCCGTTGACCTTTTGGCACAAATGATAAGAGTGTAGTAGCTCTGTGAATGCTCACAGGGTGCACATGCTCACGTAACCAGCTCAGATCAAGACGGAGCATTCCCGGCAGTTTCCCTCCCTTCCCTTTCTGGTCTTCCCTACCCATCCAGAGAAACCACTACCTGGCTTACAACCTCTGCTATTCAAACCTGAGTTTCTAAAAATCAAGTGTCTGATATTTATAGATCAGGAAATCTGCCTTCCTGCCGTTCTTTGAGGAATGAGATCCACCAGCGCTGGCGGTGTGCGCCCTGGAGGCAGAGCCCGCTGGAGGAGGAGCCGCTGTTCTTCAGAGGGCGTGGCCTCTCCGGCTCACCTGACTCACCTTGTTTAACCACCTGCCTGGCCAACTGCATAAGAGCTTGTGACACTTGTCTTTTCCCATCCCTGGATCCCAACTTCAATGTCTTTGTACTTGTGATCATTCCAAGGTAGTACTGGCTAACTACTCACTTTAAAAAGGGGGGGGGGATTTTTCTCCTGATTTATCCCACTTCTACATTTTAAATCTTTTTTTTTTTTGTGGGAAAAATGTAAACCTCAAAGGGCCAAGGTTTGTATAGTTATCTATTCAAAATATATACAAGATGTTTATCTACACAGAGTGAAGCGAGCACTGGGAATGGGACTTGGAAGACCTGAGTTCTGCTCCCAGATTCTGCCAGAACCAGCCTGTGCAAATTATGCAACTTTTCAGGGCTTCCTTTATCTTTAATCTAGAGCAGGAGGACTTCACCTCAGTGACCTCTTGAGGTCCTGTAATTTTGTGATTCTCTGGGCAGATACCAAGGTGGACTTTGAGCTCATGTGAGCAGATGGGCAAGCTGACCCTGCACAGTGCCCTTGTCATCCAGCTGGGGGGACCGAGCGTGTGGCTGCCGGGTTGGGGGGACAGCTGAGGTTCCTGGGGCCCAGGGGCACGCCACAGGCAGGGCAGTAGGAGGTCTTCCCTGCGCCCAGGCAATAAAGGGAGCATTGTCTGTGGAGAAGGGGAAAACAGTAATAAAACAGATTTAAAGTAGGTCAGGTTTTTCTTCTCTCCATTGGCCAGCAATTCTCAATAACGTTCTTGATAGACACTCCCCCATCGCCAAAACATTTTGTTGGCTAAGTCCCGAACTATGGCTATGGTTCCTGTTGCATTTTAGTGACTTATATGTAGTTTTAAATGAGTACGGTTTTAGTACATGTTTCTTACTGAACCTTGTATTCTGGGTGGACATTGTCAGCCCATGACACACAGACGCTGCTGTCCGTGCTGGTGTGGGAGAAAGTTCACAATAGTTTGATATCTTCTGACGGAGCTGGTGGTGCTGTGTCGTCACCTGCTGGGGATGACATTTTCTGCATTTAAACAGTAGATTCAGAATGCGCCATGAGAGCCCCGAGGCTGCAAAGGCAGGAGACAGACCGTCCTGAGTGGCTTCAGTTCTGCCATTCGGCGTGACCCTTCAGAGAGTGTGACCCAGACAGCCTGTGAATTCCAAGGAAGGTATTTTTGTTCCCTCAGTGCAAATTTTAGTTCATACATGAAACATATCTAAATAAAACCTTTGAAGCTGAAATATATTCCCTTTCAGTAATTAATTGTTCTAAAACTAAAGAATGAACCAAGAAAATGGTGGTTATTCCTGAAAATAATGCTCACACATGAGGAGGGGGGTATTCAAAAGTGATCCATTTTAGGTGTTGAATACCCTGGGTGTGTTTTGTTCTCTCCTCACATTTGTGCTAGTTACTGGCCAACAGCCTCCCAAGAACAAGAGTCCAAAAGAGCCCGGAGAAAACAGAATCAAGCCCACCAACAAAAAGGTGAAGCCCAAAATTCCTAAAACAAAGGACAGGGACACAGCCGATTCGCCACCGAAGACGCAGTCTATCATGATGCAGATGATGGATAAAGGTCGCTTCCAGAAAGCTGCTGCTACCCTGAGTCTGACGGCTGGGCAAACTCTCGAGCTTCGATGTAAAGGGAGCAAAATTGGATGGAGCTACCCTGCGTACCTGGACACCTTTAAGGACTCCCGCCTCAGGTACATGTGCATTTGTTTGTTTCTCTGTTTGTTTGTTTATATCTTACATTGGGTCAGGGTTTGGTTTCATTCTGTGACTAAATATTACACCATTTCTGACATCTACCATTGCACCCTACCAGCTAATAAAAATGGAAGTTCAGTGAGCAAAAGCCATAGATTTTATTTCTTTGGCCAGTTAAAAAAAAAATTACAAATCCTATCAATGCTGGTTAAAACAGTGAAATTATATAGGAAGCCATGTGACGAATAATTGAAACTATGATGCATAGAGATAGATATTTAAGAATTTGTGTTGTGAATAACAATGGACCCAATACTTTATGTCATTTTTAAAGTAATCATAATGAAAACTGAAACGACCTCACAGGAGATGCCTATGAGCAACTTGATCTGAGACGAACTTAAACTGTTTTTGCACTTTTCAACTGCTTCTCATAATTTTTACTTTTCTCAGTATGTGACTTTTATATTCAGAGGCATCAGTGTGTAAGAAGGCCGAAAATTTCTCGTGTTTGAATGAATACTTTCAGGAGGCTGGTTTCTTGTTCAGGAAAAGTGGAGATTGTGAAAAAACTATGAAAAGCAGGAAAACAGAGAGTGCGTCAGCAGGTACTGGGAGGAGCCTGTGGGGTTAGGGGATGTGATTCCCCTGTGTCTTCGGCAAAGTCCCCTAACTGTCCTGGGCCTCGGTTTTCTCATGCAGAGAATGAAGGGATCAGACGACAGAATTTCTCAGATTCTTTCCGCCCGTTTCTTCCTATGCTTTAGAATTCGGGAATACAGGATATTGTCTGTTTGGAATGACTGGAATGCGAGAAAAAGAACGAGGCTCGCAGGCATCTCAAACTCTGCATGTTCAAAACAGTCATGTATCTGCGCCAACTCCACCTCCGACCTCTGTCTCCCTCAGGGACACTGCCATCCACTCCACTGCGCAGCCAGAAACCTGGGGGGCACCCTTGCCTTGCCCCTCGCCCCCAACGCCCCCCATCCGGTCAACCACCACGTTCAGCCAAGGCAGCCGTCCTAAGAGCCATCAGCCTGTCCTCGGTCCAGCCCTGCTGTTGCTGCCCCAGCCCCAGCTGGTGTCACCCCTCCTCACCTGTACAGCCCTCAGCACGCCCAGCCCAGGTGCGCCCCAGCCAGCCTCCTCACTGCGGCTGAAGTGACATTTTAAAAATCCTGCTCTGATCATGTCATTCCCCAGCTTAACACGTGGTGGGTTTCCACTGGGGATAAAGTCCAACAACCTCACGTGACTGCTGAGACCCTCCCTGGCCTCCCCAGTTTCTCTCTCGTCACCGCTCCTCTCTAGATTAATGTCTTTGCTGTCCCTGGCAGAGCTTCTGTGACAAAGACAGGTGCTTCCAAGTGCTTCAAGCTCTCCGAGCCTGAACACTTGCCTGGACCGCCCTGGCTGGGCGGTTCCGTTGGTTGGAGCGCCATCCTGTACCCCAAAACGTTACAGGTTCCGTCCCTGTTACGGGTTCAGTCGGGGCGCTTTTGGGAGACAACTGATCGATGTTTCTCTCTCACATTGATGTTTCTCTCTTTCTTTCTCCACCCTCCCCCCTCACCCCCCAACACCGCTCTCTCTTAAAGAATCAATAAACATATCCTCAGGTCATAGTTAAGAAAAACAACCCAAACTTGCCCAGACCCACCCTGGGCCCCTCTTCACTGGCTAACTAACTTCGGCCTCAGGGCCGCCTTCTCTGGGAAGCCTCCATCAGCCTCCCCCCCCACCCCCCACCAGGGTCTGCATTCCCATTTTGGTGCATTCTCATTTGAGAACAGCTGCATTTTTTTAAAAATGTTTTCCACGGGGACTTAACTAAGTGCTTGACTTTTAGCTTTATCTAGTGAATGACAGAACGACAAACTTTTCCCCTTTCTCACACACGTATACCTTGGGGAATAAATAAATTAAAATATATGTATAAGTAATATCTCTCTACCTAACCTCTGGTGTTAAGACCTCTTTCACATTTCATTCTGAAGATACTTTTCTGGTTTCATGGTATATAACAGCATAGGGTTTTTCTTAAGGGACAGCGGGTTGGATAAGGAGTGGAGAGTGTGAGAGAATCAATCAGTTTTTCCCATTTTCATCTCCACGCTTGAAACACACATATGTGGAGTATATGTGTGTGGGTAACCCTGCTTGGAACAAACCTGGAATTATTTATTACCATAAACTTTTTAATTTACCAAAATCAGATTTACACATTTTTTAAAAACCAGAATGAAGCTGTTTTAAATTTTACCCTTGACTTACACGAAGTATCTTAAACCTAGATGATTAGCCCCTTAAAGATTTAATATTTTCTAGGAGTATTTCCAAAATTATGTTAGCCAAAATAAGTTTGAAAATATCTGAAGGACTCAAAGTAAAGTGAACACAAATCTGAATTGAAAAGAAATATCCAGTAGCTGAAAAAGTCAACTCTGACTTAACATTAAATGGTATTCATTCAAAACACAGTTAGAGCTTTATAAGAAAGTAAAGACAGATGTGGGCCCCCAAGGACTTTACAAAAAAAAAAAATGTGAAAAATGTGAAAAACATCTAGTCATAACTCTATATCAAACAACAACAAAAAAAATCACGATTTATTTGACACCAGAGATTCGACAAATCGACTCTTGACATCTTTCCCGGAACGTGGTGCTTCTGGGTAGAAGAGAAGCATTCATTCCGTGTTTGCTTTTCCCATGGAGTGAGTTCTTTCCACTGTCCCGACAGCCTTGGGTTGGAAGCTTCCCAGGTGCACTTCCAACAAAACCTGGCTGGGTTAAGCAATCTTGCTAGCTTTCTGGAACTAAGTTTGCATGCTACCGTATTTGTCCAAATTTAATCCTCTGACCGAAAGAGGCAGCGTGTTGTGGAACAGAGAGGTCAGGCTGACGCACAGTGAGATTTGAATCCTGTCTTTACCACTAACCAACAAAGGGATCTTTGATCCAGTAATTTCCCTAGAACCCAATTTCCTCCTCTGGAATATGGAGATAATATTACCTGTGATAAATACTGCCTGGCCCATGGTAAATAGTCAACAAATTTTAACTGTTACTGGGTAACATATATTTCTCAAGCACAGTAATCCAAATGATGTTCCGGGACATTTCATTCTGACCAGGACTCACATAAATCAGGGAATTGTGCGCAGCTATGTGACTTTTAATATAGAAGATCCAAGAAAGTTTGTGCACTTCTCTCCCACTTTCATTTAATTGATCAGTTCTTTCTAATCTGGGGCCTGGTCCATCTTCCCCCAGGAAAGCGTAAGCCCTGCGAGGGCACATACAACATCTGTTTGACTGTCAGATTCTTAGCACCTAGAACAGTGCTTGACACCTACAGGAACACAGGAAGTATTTTCTTGGCTTCTCCAGGGTCTTAGTGATCACGTCAGAAGAAGCCGTGCATGCCTTCTTTCATTCAACATTTCAAGATAATTACGCTCAGTGCCAATGTGCACACTGTACGTGGAGGCAGGAAGGAAGGTAACAACATATTATGAACGTATTTTATGCCCCTCTTTACCCATCCTGACCCCTTCTGTCGTCATGCCTCTCCCTCCTTTATCTTAGACTCCATGGTCTGTCCTGTCTACCGAACCCTTGAACACATCCTAAATAAGTTATTTTGCCTTCTGTTTTCCTTCATTCCTATTTGGAAACTTCCAGCCCAGAATGAACCCGTTTACCTCCTGGCTCTCGTCGCACGGGGTCGCTGAGCCCTGCTGAGGAAGCCGCGCGGCCGGCCAGATGGGCGCCACGAGCCTGCGGCTGCCTCCCTTGCACCTGCAAAGCCGAATACGTTTCTCCAGAGAGCGCCCTTCCTGCCCCATCTTAAATCTCTGATCTCCATCCCTTTCGCTTTTGGCTAATAAAATTGCCACCTAATTTACTGAGGAATTTGAGCCCTAGAATTGCCTTAACTTCCTCTTGTCACCCCCCTGTCTTCCCTGCTCTCACCGTTGTAGTGGAGACAGAGTTTCTTTATTTGTCAACCACAGCCGAAGCGTCATCTGTGCCCTGGGTCTCGTCCTTACAGCCTTTCTCGGGAACGTAAGATTTCGGTTATTGCCTGGCCGTTCTGGGTCAACGCCCTTCTCAACAGGACTCTTTCCAAATGTCTTCTCCATATCGGGAAATCCCACCTTAGTCCCCACCTACCCTCCAGCCACCTTCCTCTCTCCTTTTACCTTCACAGCCAGACCCCTTTGAGGAGTCTCTCTCCCCATCCATCATCCTACTTTTCCTCTCCTAGTCACTCCTCAGCGACTGCACCTGACACCTGCCCCCGCTCCGCAAGCATTCCGTCCTCAAGGTCACGGCCACTGAAGCCCGAGTTCGCTTTTCATTTCCCTCAGAGCTGTTCCAGCAGGTCCATCTGCAGAAGGCAATGCACTCCTCTTGGCTCGCACGACGCCCGTCTCCTGGGTCCCTTTCGGCCTCCCCGGCCCCTCCTCACAGTGTCCTTCGCCAGCCACGCATCCTCTGCTGTCCCAGGTAGTGGGGTCTGTGCCCTCTTCTCCTTTCTCTGCCTGCTGCCGAATGCTCTTCATTTATCCCATGTTAGATCAAATGTTTCTCCAAAGCTCTCGATTGAACAGTCCAGCCGCTCATCCAACTGCCTGGATCTTTCACGAGCCTTTTCTTTAAACATAACCATCTGAGACTGAGCTCATGGCCCTTCTGTGCACCTGGTCATCCTCTTGTGTTTTTTAGTTTAGGAGCGGCCCTAATTCCACCCGGTTGCCCCTGACCAGAGGCCTGGGAATCACTATGGACACTTTCCCTTTACTTCCAGTCAGCGCCTGTGTCCTAATGGTGCTACATTTAATTACTTCTTGAATCTCCCCACTTTTTTTCCAGCACGGCAGCAACACCCCAGTCCTTGAGCAGAGCAAGTCTGTTGCTCTCAGAATAAAGTTGGAGCTCCCAGCACGGCCCACGAGGCCGCGCGGAGCCCGGCCCCCACCTTTGCC